GAACATAAGTAGATGATATGAACATAAGTAGGTAGACCTGCTTAGAATTACAGTTTTACTATGTTTAAGATATACAAGGTGTAGTTTTGAAGCCGTGTCATTTCTCGGGGGCATGTCACAGAAGTCATAAAGGTTTAATGTAAGAGAAAGTTTCGGGCCAATAGTTAAAAATACGGCTATAATAAATCGCTTAAGTTCGACAGTATTTCAGAATAAGCGACAGCAATGTTTTTTATTGGAGTTTTATGCAATTAGGAATAATATCAATTACGTGTTTGAGTTTGTGGGTGTTAAGCCGCGTTATTAAGCTAGTTACATTACAAGACGGCGGCGTGCAGTTCGCACTTACGGATTTCCGTAATTTACAGAAAAATGAAAAATATTTACCTACAATTCTTTTATTGATTCGGACTCAGAATCTATAGCAGTGTTACCTCCTAGAAAATGACGCGGCTTTAAAACAACACATTGTATATACTTACCTACGTAAGTAAGTAGGTACTTACCTACATTTAATAAGTTACATAGGTAACTATTTCCTTTGAAATTGTAATATAGGTAAAGGCTACAACCAACTACTGGTTCGGTATGGTATGAGCATTGTAACTGCAACATACAGCGTAACAGTTAAACATTAACATTAGATCCGATACGTAATTACACTGTAAAATCTATTTTGTTTTCGTCCCGAAGTAAAATGGTTCTGTCTTGTTAATACAATAGTTTTACAAACAAATAAAATGTTTAAAACAAAAAATAACTGGTGAACCATTGCAAAAAGTATCTAAACTTTGAAAGCGCATACGAACTCAAAGTACCTAGGTACCTACATTATCAAAACATCACGCCAGAAGAGGCATTTCTCGTCAAGTGGCATGTGCGATGCGAAATTGTAACTGCAAATTTACGTCTATTTTTTTTAAGGGGGGAAAATCATCGAATGACTACTCCCTCCTAGGCGAGGCGAGTGTTTCATGTGCGTATTTACATGAAAAAAAATTGTATACCCAAGAAATATAATAATATTAATATTTTTTGTTTTTACTTTATACATCGAAAGTACTCCATAAGGCAAGTTGTTTTGCCGCGGGACGAAAACGAGATAGATTTCAGTGTAGATACTAAATACGACTTTGTCCTTCCTTTTTTATAAGTCGTGATTGCCCATTTAAAGAGCAAAGGCCAACCTAATTACCTACCCTCCCTCCACTTCTCTTGAACTTTACCAATTATACTAATTTAGCATTTTCAAAATGACTGATTTGCAATCCGACATTAACGATATAATTTAATCCTTCCAACGCAGGTGTGCAGGTGAAACCCTCGCGGTATTAGCGGAGTATCTGTAGACGCTAATGTCGTTATGAGTTGCAAACTGTTAATCCTATTTGACATGCTAAGCTCCACGTAGACACCCGTGCTAGATCGAGTAAGCGGATCATTCGTTTGAAGGGAAATCGGTTCAGTTATTTGCTCATGTAGAGATAGTTATATAAAAGGGGTTTGCTATTAGTATTGTTGTGTAGATGGTTAGGTACATAAGTAGACCATATTGTGATGCAGGTAGATAGTATATTTGTAGCTTTTACAGTTTATTAACTCGTCGAGTACCGGTTTTATAGACACAATTAAAGAACAATAGGTCGCGGTCACCGGTGACCGCTTGGTGTTTGACAGTTTAATGACAATAACCCTTTTCTCAATCTAAGCAGAACTTAGGTATCTAATTAGGTAGGTGCATAGCTAGTTATTTGTTTAGCTACCACATGGATAAACAAGTGGGTTTTTGATTGAAGGGGGTATTTAGATAGGTACCTAACTACTTAGGCATAAACAAGAAAATTGCTTACTAGTTGCAATAGGACATAGGACCATAGATGCCTATATATAGGTACCAATTTATTAAACGCCTAAACGATACGCATTTGAAAAATATTTCAAGTACCTATTACAAGACCAAACGCTGTTTTATACTATTTATATTTTGCAGTATTGCCTTGATCAGGATGCCGTATTCCCGGGGGCCGGCCGGTACGAATAAGATGCAGCCGGTGCATCGATCGCGCACGACCTACTTGCAGGTCAAACAGAGGGGTCTGCCTGACCCTACCTCACTCCCACCGCCCATTCATTTTAATCTGTATGCACTAGCAATCATGCGGGGAAATATACCATACCTATATGTGCGTTTGCCTCTTTTCTGCATGTTTGAAGGTCAATGAGGGAGTGAATCCGATTGTTAGCTAGTCAGATATCTATGTTAATACTATCTGTAGGTATCTATGTATCTACGTTCTACATAAGTTATGCAAGTGAAGATGTAGTCATTCACTTACTCAGCTATTTTGATAATTTGTTTATTCCTCTTGAGTTTGAAATGTTGAGTTTTTTAGTGGTGTATTTTATAATATTTATTTACAAGTTTGATAGTTTGATTTATCTGACAATGACATTCTGTTAACCATAAATAGACTTTTTTTTTATTTATAGGAGGTTTTATGATACGGCTGAACAAGGACTTCGAAAAAAGGTTCGAAAATGTTTTTAGTGTTTATTAAACAAGCATCAAGCATTAAGAAGTTAATTCCGTTCGGTGTAGTAAACAAAATCGAGGTTTCTGTTCTTTAAAAAACACTTTTAACTAAGAACATTAATTATAATAGGTCAAACATACGAACTGCAAATAAAATTATGCACTCTAATGTGTTCATGAAGTCGCGGAGAACCTAACAGGTAACCGGGGCTCCGGCTCGACGTGCAGGAGAAGGAACGGGGTGGTTTTTAGTCAGTAAGAGTCTGACACTCCCTCCCACCTCACCCAGGCGGGAGCAATGATTCGATGATTTTCGCCCCTTAAAAAAATGTGTTCATGAAACTATTGTTTTCAGGCAGGGATATCAATGGCTGAAATTAAAACAAAAAGTTCATGTAGGTACTCATTTTATATTTCTTAAACCAGAACAAGCAGCATTGGTGTTTTTATAGCACATTCACATTTCCCATCATTTTAATACTGTAGTCTGAAAACTAAGCTTAGCGACATCTGGTGTCCATCAGAGTAGGTACACCAAGTTGATGATCATACCTACCTAAGATCTGCGCGAAAAACGACTAATTTTATTTTATGCAGATTTCAGAGTGCAGGCAAATTTGATCCTTATAAGATTTAATACATGTTTTCCTCTAACAAGGGCCATATCAAATGGCTAAGGGAATATTATTGCACACACAAGGACGAGATCCGCATATACCTACTGAAATCTACATGAAAGTAATTCTGTTATGTCTTAGCTCATTATCCAACACTACACAAACATCATACTTTTAAGAGTACTATTTATTTCATACAGGCGCCATCTTTATACAGTTCAACTGTGACAGTCAAGAAATTTAACAAAAACCGCTCTTCTTGCTACGAAATAAAGATCAATTTTAAATAGTCATGAATTTTTATTAGGAACTTACTGTTTTACAGTTCATGCCTCATGACTCTGGCTTTGTTGTTTATGCCTCTATAGGTACTTTAGTCCAATGAATGTATTACATGTTTTTATAATAAAATAGGTTTATTGAACATATTTTTGTTTTATCCCGCTTATTTGTAAATTATTAAAAGACCCTAGCACATAAAAATAAAAAAAAGCATTGATATTCCATATTTTAGGACAAATCAGTGTTAATCAATCATTACATTGTAATAATTATGAAAAATAGTCAAGGATATAATAGGATGGGTAATAAAAATATTTTTTCCATTAAATAACTTATTATATCCCCAAAAACGAGTTTCAAGTACAGTTGCGCAAAAGTATAACATGCTTGCGCAATTTGCGCAATTATGCGTAAACTGACTTGCGTATATCAATTGACATAATATTTTATTCAATGATAAATAAATAAAATATGCACACTTTTGATTGGGTAACACTGTTTTGGAATTGTATTTAACTGGGTCGTTAAAAACTATTAAACCAAAACTTTATTATTAGCCCATGAATCTATCATAGTCTTTATAAACAAAAGCGAGGATATTTATTTGTATATTTATTAATTTTATTTCTATTTCTAACTGCATATTCACAATAACATAATATTTCATATTTATACAGTTGTTGATATAAAATCTATTTCGATTCTGCTATTTTACTTCATATTATTACAGTCCTTTTGTTTACCGATTACCACAATATGTAAGTATTGTATAACTTAAAAATTTAAATTGGGCTTTTATTGACAACAAAGTGTGTTAATTATTAGCTTTTTTTACTAGAATGAGTGGTCCAAGAGTATTGATTAACTCTTTAATTAACATACTACTTGAATGTCCATCTTCACAAAATATGCTGTCACATTAGACATTAGATATTCTAGAAAGGTATGAGGTATTTATCCTAGAAAGATCTATAAATGTAGCTTGAGAAGACATGTCTTGTATTACTACCAGAATACTTGGAACCTCGCCAAAATCTCTTAATATTAAGTTATGCTATGGTCTATGCACGATTTCGCAATAGAGTAAAAAATAAACATATTTAATAAAACTTTAATCCTAGTTTTAATTGACTTTATCTATTTATAGGATATTTACTGTTATTACATTCACACAAAGTCTATTTTAGTTCGGAGCAGACAATATGGACCTATGTATTATTATAGCACCTATATTATTGGCGGTATTTGACACTGAGTTGCCAATAAAAGAGCCCATTATAGTTACTGTACACTGGGTTTCACTAAACAGTTCATACACTGCATACACAAATAAAACCTTTTTGCTGTCACTTTGTAGGCTGAAGGTACATTAGATGTTGAAGCGAGTCTCGATAATTTAGATTCTTATTATTACTATATCTTGATTAAAGTATCTTTGATGAACTGTTTACATTAAACGGTTTTTTAATACCGCTTTCGATTAAACTAATGTAAGTTAATTTTTGTAAACAAAATATCGCAGTAGCAGGATTGTAAAAAATACAGCAAGTATGGTATGTTATGCGAGTTTACTTCAACAGCTGATGTACGAGTGCCCGCAGCAGAATGTTCTTGACGTGGTGCACGGGCGCGGCGCGGCGGCGGGCGCCTAGTAGCGGTGTCTGCTCGGGTACATGCTGGGGTTCTGCACGTTGTTCGACTGCTGCACCGGGTAACCTTGCGTTATGCTGCCCGGCTTCGACGTCTACACAAACAAAACGATTAACCTACCGCCCCCAACAACCCTTTTGACCACCATTCTTTAAGGCCAATCGTTTCCATATCGCTTCAAAATTTGAAATCGAAATAAAATAAGCTCGTCAAGAAGATGCTTTGAAAGATAGAAAATTATGAGAATAGCATGCAAACAAAAGCGTTAATTTTGTGTTACAATTTCGAAAAATTTTGAATAATCGGCGACATCATCTCGTGCCGAGGGCAGTCAAAAGGCTGGAATAAAAACACACACACATTTATGTCTGAATTTAATTTCTGGGGCATAATTACAGTTTTTTTAATATTTTTTATGTATTTATGCTTTATCAGACTTTTCAAAGACCTGTGTTAAAAATTGTAGCTTCACGCTCTTTCGGTTTTTTGAGGAGAGCCAATGAAGAACACCCAGTGGGTTTAAAAATCACAATTATGCCCTAGGACTTTAAGGGCGTCTTGAAAAGGACAACACAACAGCTCGTTGTCCTAAGTGATATTGCCTCTGAGGTGAGCGACTAGCACTAAGTCATACTGACTTAACAAATCATTAAGTTATAAAAACATTGTGATCATAATCCCAGTTTATACAAAGTACTTTTTAACAAAGTCACTATAGGCCTAATCTGCTCACCTCATAAGGACAACGAGCGTAAAGATAAATAAAAAATTCTTACAAATTTTGCGAGTAGGAAAGCCGCTACGGTCTATTTGGCTCTGATATATCCAGTAGCATTAAAATTATATTCAACTTTGAACAAAATGTTAAGGTATGCACACATTGAGCTGGGTCGTAGTGGGGGACTAATTTTAAGGGCAAAAAACGTTCAAATTACAGTTTATTTAACCTTTATTTCCAGCCGTCGTTGTATATTTCAGAGTTTTTGGTGATAAATAAAACAAATTTATAGAAAATACCTGAGTTCAGAATCAATTTTTGAAGTAAAAACTTCGAAATTAGGATATTCTCCCATCATCGACAGTGGCGCCAAAGTTGACGGTAAAATAGATACAATTTGACGCCGAAACTTTTCGTACTGGTATTATTGACTGTTTGTACCCTTTTACTGCCCCCCACTGCGACCTAGCGTAAATAATAAAATAATCCTATTTATTAGCTAATGGCAATCTAGTTAGTTATCAAGCAATGATTGTTCGTTTAAGGTTATTTAGTCATTTAGATGTTCCACAGTTCAAAACAATTTCAGATGTAGGAAACACTTGGGGAAGTTTATCATTCATCAAATATAATTTGAATGGCAAAGCTCACATGACAATAAGCAATGATTAAATATAATACATATTAACATAAGATGGGGTATTTCCTGGTTGGGGAGTGAATTGATTGAGCCAAATTCTTGCCGTCGCTGAGTTTTTGGTACCTAGGAATCGAACCTCGGACATCACAAGTCCTGCAGCTGCAACTTAGCTAAACATTAGTCACATTTAGAAAAATATGTATAGAGTAACACAGTTATTATATTCAAAGGTTTGGATTGAACAAACCACTAACTCAAACCAACATTGAAATCATGCATGAAATTCTGAAATGGTTTGCAGTAAGGCAATTTCAACTTTGGCATTAAAATATCACAGTTTCATATTAACTCGTCGAGTACCGTATTTATAGACACAATTAAAGAACAATAGGTTGCGGTCACCGGTGACCGCTTGGTGTTTGACAGTTTAAAAAATAAGCTTCAAAATAAATCGAACGTTGACAATCTACTAACTGAAAACCATATCAAAAACTAGAACTAGCAAGATGCAAATAAAATATAGCATACATAGGAAGTTAGTGGAATAATAAGCGTAGTACATAACTTTGTAAATAAAATGACAATGAGACACTACAATAATAAATAAATATAATCAAGCTCTATATTAGACGGAGAATAAAGGAGGAATTATAAAAATAAACAAAAATAGCATAACATACAAAATAAAAATAAAAAATACAATACCTGTGCAAAATAATCGGTTAAATTGTTTTAAACGGAATGAAAGGCGGGTTTTAACACATCCTTTTATAAGATATAGGTCTATTTATACGTAAATTGTAGTAATTTGTACCTGCATGTTGTTATGTTGCGGCGGTGGGTGTATGGAGAGGTGACGTGACACCGGTGGCTGGGCATATGCCACCCCACTACTCACTGACGGATGGTGCGCCTCGCTTAGACCAATCAGCACTTGTGGCTGACGACAATCAAACAATGCTTTATAAACTAATCTTTTATTAATACGGAGTGGGAGTTTATTTTGATATTAAAGTAAAACAATAAGATCAGGACATTTTGAAATCCCCAGTTCTTTGGATCTCATTCTTATTTTGGCGCAGGACATCATAATAATCATTCCCTCAATCAGATGTACACTTGGTAGCAAAGAAACGGAGCCACTCGTGTTTTTTCGTTTTCATTTCTTGATTAATATCTTTGATAAGTACATATAATATATGTTTTTATTAGGTATTTAAAATAAAAAAATTACGCTAGTGGCTCTGTTTCTTTGCTAGTCTAGTTCAAATTGTCTTACTCTACTGATTAGAAACCACACCATGAAGTCTTTTTCCATAGTCATACGTAACTTTCGATTAACCTAACTGTCTCATATAGTATTTCCACGGCCTACGTCTCCTACGTACCTGAGCCTCCTTCTTCTGCTCCTGATGTTGTTGCCCGTCTCTATTCTTCAACATGTCCAGGTACAGTTGTGGAGGTTGTGGCGCGGGCGGGTACATGAGCGTGTGGTGCGGCGTGTGGGGGGTGTGAGGGGTGTGCGGCGTGTGCGCGTGGTGCGCGTACAGCAGGGGAGGGGGACGCTCCCCCACTACGCCCACTACGCCAGACGTCGGCATCGCGTAGTACGCGTTCGATGATACGGAAGAACCTCCCACGTTTGACGCGTATTGAGATGGCTCTGTGAAAATAGAATTTTTATTAAATATTGTATCTAACTTTTCTAATTATTCAGATTGGTATAATGTTTGTTAGTTATCTGAAAATGCTTTTTGGAAATATGGCATGAATCTCTTCTCCAATGACGTATCAGTTATTTGGATAATAAAAGAAAAAAATATTTACAGGAAATAAAAAGAACACACAGATAATAAACATATCAATAAATGTTACACAAAATTAACTACATGCAAATGTTAGTCAAATTCGGGGAATGGAATAGGGGAGGAAAAAATATAAACTGCAAGTTGAAGAATCCAAGAAATTGAAAGATGCATTTGTACAAGTGTTACATGTGTTTTTGGAAAATATTTATGGGAAATGCAATCAGTTAATATAGAGCAAATTAAAAATAGGTACGCTTATAGAGTACAGAAGAAAAGCATGTGGATGAGAAGCGACAGACTAAGTGACACCTAGTAAAGTAACTCACTATTCCAAAGCACGGCGCGAGCCATCTGACGGCCCATGCGGCCATCTTCTACCTCTGCAAAAGATTTACTCATATATTATTTAGGTACAATGTGATTTGATAACAACTCCAATGTATGGCTCAATTCATTTTATAGTCATAAGGCCAATTTTGCAATCATCAGTTAATCATTAACTATAGAATAAAATTGACAGTTGACAGTTTTTAGTATGGAGTTAAAATTTATCTGACCATTGACAAATTGGCTCATAGACTGATAAATTTCATTTGTCTTCTACATAATGCCAAACTGTAATGAAAAGAAGATTCACACAAAAGTAAAAATTTTCTCACTCTAGTAACTTTTAAGTTTAGACATAAAGATACAATTTCGCTTGGCATTTTACGTTAGGAACAATTACAATGTCTTACTATGATCGGAGTAAACTTGTTGGTGCTTCATAGGAGGTTGATGCAGACGATGCGCGTAGAGCGCGTATGTGGGTGAGGGGCTACGAGGTCTCTTCACGCCCGACTGTATGGGGCCTCGCACAATAGTCTGCTGTTGTGGGAACAACATGTGGTTTGAATGCTTATGCTTGAACAAAGGAGAATAAACACGATAATACAAACAAGTGCAACTAGTGAGTTGGTTACGTGAAGATGATCTGATGAGCTAGCTGTGATGATACGAAATGTTATTAAACTATGTTGTAGTGGTTTACTAAAAAGATTAGTAAAAATTTTACAAAAAACATGCCTATTATAAAAGTGCCAAAAACCCTATTGCAATTTATTTATTTACACTTAAGTGATTGTTTTCTATTACTATTATTTTCAAAAGTCTATTAAAATCCTTTCTAGCATTCCATCATACAATTAGTAAAAAAAAGTGCAAAACCAAATCATTGTCGTACAAAAGTGATTGTTATTAAAGAATAGTAAAAGCAAAGTCCATGATGGTGATAAAGAACTCCTTTTAAATAAATTACTTATACCTTGGTCATCATATGGGAGGTTAGAGGTGGTGGTCTGCCTTGTGGCGGTGGTTCCGCTTGCCCAGTGGAGGTAGACAGCGGGAACATTGGGATCTGAATGTTGCCCATCGGTTGCATCTTCATGGATTGCATCTCGCTGGAAAAGTCACTGTTTTGTTTTTTTCGCCTATCATTAGTTTGTCTACAGAGTGGCAGTGGTTAGTAAATTGTTAGTTGATCCTTGGAACCTGTTGTTAGGGTACAGACTCCATTTCTGACAAATGTATGGGATATACCTTTTAATATTAATTTTTTAAAACAAATTTTGTGAATTTAATTTAGAGTTCAACTTTATAAAGCCAGTTGTCCACTTCTTTCCACTCATTACATACTAAAAAAAAATACTGGCTACTAACGAAAAAGAAAATATAAAACCAAAAAAAAAAATTAATTTGTAATTAGAACAAAACATTTCCCATACTCACTTAGTTTCCTTTTGTTGCTGTCTCTTTCTAATTTCATCTTCATTCAATACTTTCTTGAGTTGCATAAACAATTGCTGTTTCTCTTTCTCAAGCTGTTTGAGCTTCTGTTCCAACTGCTCAATTTGTTCTTTTGTTTCCTCTGAAAAATGACAATATTTGAAGAATTAATTGAGTAAACAGAACTTTTACATATACATATTTTAAAAGTTAGATTAGATTACTTTTCCGTTTAGTTTTGTGATCTCACACATGAATCATAATTATGAGCTCTGATGTCCGGGTTGTAGTTACGATCTGCTTGCCTAGCAAAACTGATTAATGATAAAGGGTTAAATTGCAAATAATTTTATAAGATGGAATACAATTAGTTATATTTTTTAAGTTCTTCATTTCAATATCTCACCCCCTATTGCGTGGGACGTATAACATAAATAGTGAAGTGGGTGTACAATATACAGAGGCATTAGGTGCCGTAATGTACACCTCTGCCTAGTCTTTCGGGGATAAAGCGTGATGTTATGTTAAGTTATTTTACCAAGTGTCATGACATCTTGCCTCTCCCTTGCTTCCCTCTCCTTTCGGAGTCTCTCCTCTTCGACTTCTGCTTCATATTCTGAAATCATTGAAATTATCTGTATTAGGTTTATTTATTTAGATATAGTAATATCTGTGGAATTAGATCATACAAGTACAAAAGTAATTAGTAACTTAGTATTAAAATGGTTAGATTTAAAATATGTACCAGGTATAAACAAATTCCTACAAAATGACACCCTTTCAAAGATATCAGTTTTAGTCAATGTTCAAATGTTCAATTGAGGCACATAAGTATCATATTCATGACTACAAGAATTTGTCGATTTTAACATAAAAGACATAAAATATGCGAAGATAAAACAAGAACATGATATTCTCAAAAGAAGACTGTTTATTGATTGCTGATATTGTGTCATCAAAATTTTTACCTTCCTTTTTTCTTTGTCTTTCGCGTATTATATAGCGCTTTAATGCGCTCCACATCTTTTGATCGGCTTCATTTTGCTCCTCCACGGAGGGTGTAGTTACAGCAGGCATTTTGATAAATTTAACACCAATACGAAACCAACATTAATTATCACTACGTGTTACAACTTTTCTCTCCTATTGCTGGCTTTTAGCCAGCATATTATAGCGGGAAATATTCTAAGCACAGTATTTCTGAGCTAAGAAATGTTAACATTAGTATTTTTCCCAAAATATTGATGAATTTTACGTATTTTGAGACAATCTCAGACAGTAGACATTTACAAATATTTATATTGTCTATAGTCTATTTTTAAAATTAGGCCGTCTATGGAATTTTTCCTGTTTAGTTGAAAATATATTTTCATAACATATCAATAGGTATCAATCAACTGATTACATAAATGTGTACAGATAGGTTACCAAGTGTTTCCTGAAATAAATAATTATATCTATAAATGGTATATAAAATAGGCTGAAAGCGTTTATGAACGAACCATTAACTGTCAGTGTCTAGAGTGTCAAGAATGATTTGTCAAGTCAGTCACTGTCAAAGTCAAACAAAAATCTACTGCTGCCGCGCGGCCCCCCTAATTAGTTACCCCCCTCGTACTGCTACTGATAATAATTGGTAATCGCTGATACTAAGCACATTACCTATTGTATGAAAAATATGCGGTTTTTGTAAATAAAAAAATTAAAACTTATTTTTTCTAACATAAAACCTCTTTGAAAACGTTCAGTGATCATCAGAAATCGAATAAAATGGACGGACCGTCTGGACCGAAGAAGAAACTTAAAACTGTGAGTATTATTTAATGTTTTACGACCGCATTTGCGTGCTGCATTTCGGGCCCGTTTATGTTAAAATCGATTTTCATTATCAGTGTTATACATATACCTACGTATGCATTATCTTGTTGATAATAAGTAAGTATGACCAGACATGGAATAATTTTTAACCGTGAACAATACAAATCCGTATGATTTATTCTCCTGATGTAGTTACGTAGGCCTCATTAATGTTATGATGAGATCACGAACGTTAAACAAAACAGAAACACTAATTTGAATTTTCTTCAAAGCAGGTTGGTTCAGTGGTGTAATAAAAAATGTTATCTTGTTGCTATAGGCAGTACTTATAGGCCTTTCTCATATATATTCAAGTATATAATCAACTCAACTAGAAAGGTGTTATTATTTTCTCTTGAGAGTACCTATGTATACTTTATCTTTGTATAAATTTATCTTTTAGAAGTGAAAGAAAATCCATGATGAACAAAAAGGTCGAAATCCGAATATCCTTATAAAAAGTCTGGGTAAAGTTCAAGGTGTCATATGTAATTTTTTTTAATATGAATAAATAAATTATGTAATAAACTCAGTATAATGTGTGTGGTTCTAAAGTACCTAATGTTACAAGTTTATTTTGTACCTATTTTCTTTGATTTCTGACCTCTTTAGTATAAGTAAGCACCCAGTTAGATCGAGCCTATTTCTTTTTGATATCTACAGATAATTTCAAAACTTGTTAAAATGATATTTGTTTATTACTGTAAATTTCTCCTAAAACAAGTTTATACTGTGCTAAAAATATATTTGTGCCTTTTTTCCTCAAATTGGTATCATGTTTTATGAGTTCTTATTTATGGTAGAATTTCTTATGAGTATATACATACTGCTGCTGCTGTCGCCATGTCAATGTAAGCCCATATACAATATATATACAATATGGTCTTACGGCTACAAGATGGGGTTCTTCATGAAAGGAGTAAACAGGTTTATAAATGGTCGGCAAGGCGCATGTAATGCTCCATGTGTTGCAACCGTTCATAGGTCACGGTAACCACTTACCATCAGGTGGGTCGTGTGCTTTTCTTGCCACCATTGTGATATAAAAAAAAAATAAAAGTACTCTAAATACTCTAATCGGTATAAAACATGATACCTCCCGTCAAGAAGTTTTATTTCATATTATTCTAGTAGTTCTTATTAGAACTTCTTGAAGACCTAAAGAAGTGAGTATACATATATTATAACATAATTTGTGTACCCAATCGCTGTTGCTACATATGACGTAAAAGATTAATATCATTATCAAGTCAGTTGCCACAAAAACATGTTTTCTTTTGATGTGCTTTTATCTCTAGGACAGATCTTTCGTTAATTCACCTGTATCTACTCACCATCATCTATTGATAAGGTGTAAATAATAAATAGTTACCAAATAGATAAGGTTTCATTTAGTATGTCATCGGAATGTTACAAAATATGCTGTCAAATTAATTTGAAGAGTATGGGAGGTATTGTTTACTTTAATTTGATAGCGCAAATAAATCTTTTACCCTATTGTGACTTAGGTAAGAATCAATTTCCAAAAAAAGATCTTGATGGCTGATGTAATTTTTTTGGTTTTTACATCATCCTGGAGCAGACTGGAGAAAACCCACTTATACCAAATCAATCTTCTGTTTTGGTTTTAGATTAGGTTTATGTTGGGTTTTTCTTTTCAGCTATTAAATGCAGTTTTTACTGGTTCCTTATCCTATTTTGGATATTGTTTATTGTTGAAACCTGTTTGGCATTGATATATTGATTGGATCAGTAGATTAATATTTGAGCTTCTTTCAATAAGAAGAGAGACATGTTATTGTTAATTATGTCCGTTTTCAGAGAATTTACTGGAATAGCTGTATTTTTTTTCGTACCAAAACCCCTATTTACGCAATTCCTTGTATCTTTGCTCCTCGAGTGTGGCGAGTGTCTATGGTAGATTGCTTACCATTAGGTGATCCGTCAGTTCGCTTACTGCTTTGTACCATAAAAAACATCCGCAAGACACCTTGTTTGTGATTTGTATCAAAACCCGGTGGGATGCCCGAACGCAGATCGATATGAGACACATTGTCTTTTCTTTGTGTCTCATATACAAGACCCAAAGACTATTCTACTCATACCCATGTAGAATAGAACGATTAATTGATCACATGTTGATTTTCCGCACCTCCAAACCTAATAATATCATATCTTTATTAACATTTACTGTCTATCAATTACTATATGCAAAAAGAATTTTTCACATCCGATCTACTGTCGCGATATATACCTATGTAGGTATGTATGTATGTAGTTCTAAAATAAACTGGCTATCGTAATTTTATCGATCGGTTTCGTTTAACAGGAATTCTGCGAAAATTACACTAATTAAAGTACATTTTTTTTTAATGGGGTAAAATCATCGAATGACTTCTTCCGCCTGGATGAGGCGGGAGGGAGTGTCAGACTCTCACTGACTAAAAACCACCCCGTTCCTTGTCCTGCACGTCGAGCCGGACGGTTACCCGTTAGGTTCTCCGCGACAATTAAAGTACTATAACTATTTATTAATTTGATGCCTCATCAAAAACTCGGAGCCAGTTATTGAGATAGATACTATGTGAAAGCTAATTGCTTCAACAGACAAATACATTTTTAACGTCACAAAATCCCAGCAAAAAATAATAAGTTTTGTCAATCACGAAACAAAATGTTGAAAACTGTGTCATGTATTATTGTTATTAGACTGCAATTCGAGAAGGGTGATCTACCATTTCTTCCAGTTTACAGTGTATGCATAGATTTTCTAATAGCTAGCTAGGTGGGTACGTGTCTGTAATGCATTTTCACTCTCGCCTTCGCCACATTCAATCACCAAAGTGCATAACTACTAAACCAAGGTCTCGTACCTTGGTTTAATTCCTTGAATTTTACACCAAATCAAATCGTTACTGGTTTTTGTAGTACCTATCTCTACCTCACTGAAAGACTTAAGTTACAAGAGATTCAGAATAGTACGAGAGATGACTACCAAAATTTTTGTCTCATAGCAATACGGCCAAAACCGCCTCAAATCGATAGATACGATTATCCTGAACTCGAAAATACCAATATCAGACATTTTCCGCGTAGCGTTTGATCTGACCACAAAAACACCAGACAAAAAAAATGTCTCATAGCAATACGTCTGAAAACCTTTTTTATTAGTAAATTTTGGTTATTTGATGCGAACAAAACAATTTTCAGACGGACATGTGAACGCATTAAATATTGAGACCGTTTTGAAAATGTTAACAAATTTTACCGATCGGTATCATGTCTGAAAATTGTTGGACATGATAAAATAAGTTGTCCACATGTGCAAAAAATTTATATCAGACAAAATAAGTGTAGCACCTTCTCTATCAGACAACTTTTCGCCGTATTGCTATGAGACAGGGTTTTTGGCGTATTCCTATAAGACATGGTTTTGGTCGTCATCTCTCGTACTAGAAGAAAGGTTACCCCTAGTTGGTACCCTAGGTTGGTACTCCATATGAATATGAAAATACATTTCATCTTTAACACTCTGATATCGTTCGACCTTCTCTAAAACCCTATTTTTGGTTTCACTATCTTACCAAAAACTCCCAATCCCAATACTTATCTCGATCCACTCATCGATATCACAACGATTTAATCATGAGGTAAAACAGTGACTAACCTTGCATTCGGTACTTACCATAATTTTATCTTCTCTACCATGCTAGTATATCCAAGCTAAGCTATTTCGAACTGCTCAAAATAAAATCAATGCATCAAAACAATGTATTACTTTTGGACGTTAATCCGATAACTAATGGAATTTTAGCCTGCCTGAAACTATCTGCGGTAAATTACCGTAATCGTGAAAATGCATAGCAGGAATGACTATCATTTTAAGCTTATTGACGTAGGTCAATGAAAGTATTACGAACCCGAGAAATGACAAAGCATAATATAGTTAATCTATCATATTATCGAAAAATCCACTGCAATATTGTAGTGTTGCCGTGGGCGTGGCAAACCGCAAATTAACATGTCACGGCACGGGATTACAGGATACGTCCAAAAAAAATACCTATCCGATGGTTAAACAAGGGAGCAATTCGTGGAGTTGCGCTTAATTATAACAGAATGTCATGTCTGTATCCCTAAATAAAAGATGACCAAAAATATGGCAGGATGCCGTCGAAAAAAAACTGGCTTTAAAAGATTTAATGTAAGTGTTATTAATGGTGCGTGCGCAATTTTAACTACTAAGTACCTCTAGAAGATGAAATAACTGACCGCAACAAGTTTCTAATTTCTTGTTGGCGTCAATGTAGAAAAATTTGTCTGGGGTCTTGCTTGAAATCTGAACTATCCCAACTTTTGTCAGTCAATGTCCCTAAATATTAGTAAAGAAATTAATATTTCTGTTTCAATTATTTTAGTCTACAAACTTGACCATCGGCGACTAAAGCTAAAAGTTAAGTAGAAAAAAGAAATAAAATGCCTGCATAAATACTCCCGTTCAGTGACAGGCACGATCCATGATGCCAAAAGAAAAAAAAAATGCTAGTAACTACAACAAAGCAAAAAATATTTATTTTCCGGACACACACAACAATCTAACAAGGCTAAAATGCACTGTATCTGTATTTATCGTCCAATAAACAACTGCCATTATTTACTAGCAATTTAAAATACAGTATCATTCAGTGAGCGCGCCAGTGTCGTGGTAAACGGCGAGAGCGACGTGCGTGCTGCGTTCATTGTCTTACCGGATTTTTTCGAACGCATCCGTTCAATATTGGCGGGAAAGTTATTTTCAATAAATTCGTATTAAATAAAATAAAAATGAGTTTGGAACAAAGAAATAAAAAGGTTACGGACGTGTACGAAAAGTATAAAATTGCAGAATGGGGCAATGGACCTAGAAGAACGGTTAGTGGTTTTTAGTACATTTTTAAACAATAATAATGGTTATTTGCAAATAAATATAAAACAAGGTCTACTAAATAATATATGGTTTAAATAATTCACTTCTTGAAATATACACACAATAAATAACTACTTACCTAAGTTTATTTAGGCCCTAAAGTAGTACCTATTTAAATCAAAACTTGTTTATATAACAAACATACAAATAACAAACTTTTTGCGAATTATTGTAGTCGACTTTTTTATTCCCGATCTTGAAGTTTAATTTAGTTACTTTTATTTTTACTGTTTATGGTAGTTACGTTCTCGAATCTCGAAATTATTTCAGAATCTACTAGAAAACATAAATAAATTAGGGCACAGCTGATATTATCCCCTTCATTAATTTATTTAGTTAGTATATTTACTCAATGACAATATTTTTTTTTCAATATTTGAATAAATTCAATTTGAGACCAAAACCAATATTTTTAAGTTTTTTAAATATTCGTTTGTCTCGTTTTTTTTTTGCTTATGTGTATAACTTTCTTAATTTAATGCGCCTCTATGTTTCATTTAATTACTTATTTGTTAGGAATTATTATTGTTTCTTTATACGTATTTAATGAGTAGTGACAAATCGATTTGCCTTTTAATTGATAAAAGAAACATAACTAACAATGGACAATTTTTACAAGTATTCATTTTACATACGAGAATTTAATTTATTTTCAGCTTGGTATTATCAGAACTAGATTTTACGTAATGTATAAATGATTGTACTATAATCTCAATTGTGGATAGAGGCTGCCTTGATAAGTAATATTTTAGTTATTGTTTAATATCTACGTCTTGTTATGAAAATTCTTTACATTTCTACTTAGGTACACCAACTAACACTTTAAATAAACTTATATTTTTTTACGAACCAGTGACAGTTAAAAAGGTTATATTATGGTGTATCGCATTATTACATATCTGTGCTGTGTGCTGCATCATGGATATATTTACGTGGGTCTTAATTCTAAAATTCTTATTTTTTGACAATAATCCGTTTTCTGCTTCAACGGCTCTATTTGAAAGATAGTATTAAGTATGTTCTTCTGTAAATATCATTTGTTATCGTAAAGACAGCGAAACAAATATCATTCAGACTCTGAACTCTAACATTGTAATAGAAATATCAATAAATAAAGCTGGAATGTGTTATGAGTTGTATTGATGTGTATTATCATCGATTCTGTTATCTCCAATACATAGTGGGCTAATACCCGTAAAATAAATTACCTGTATGAATAATAAAAAAGTAGTGAGTCATCATGGCTTATATTGTTACTGTCCAAAATGTATTAGTTCGAATAATATACATAAAGATTTTTTTAATTTAATAATTTTAGTCTACGTATTTATTTTCCGTTGTATTTTTTTGCCATTAAAACTCTTGTATTCACATTATTGTGTTTATTTTTTGCTTTATTGTTTAATAGTTTAAAGTTCTGACGCACACAATTTTATTCATTCCTTAAAAATACCCTACAAGAAAAAACATAGAATACCACTTACTGTAAATATTTTCGTATCCCACTAGTTGGCTCTGCTGTAACTTTTGGTCGACTCGACATCAGCACCAATACTTACGACTTAAGTAGATTCGTTTGCGATACAATCATATCTTCGTTTTTCATTGGTTTTCCTCGATTTATCCTCAGACTACCATAAATTCTTGGGTACTTAATTATTTTTACTTTAGGGTCTACTATTGAAGTGACTACTACTTCCTTACTTACTCCGATCATTATTTTAGCTGCCAGGCTAGTGGAATGGCTGTCATTAAATCCTATCGCGGAAGCATCCAACAAGACGCATCCGCTCTCCATGACTAGTTTCTTAGATAACATACTCAAGCCAGCTGTACTCTACAAATATAGTATTGTCGTGATTCAATTAAATTACCTACTCATTCTATGTGTTTGCAAACTATTATCATCCCATAGTACTTGTGTAGGTATTAAAATCATAAAACGCTATTAAAATTTAATTCTTATATTGCTCTTATCCCGTCTGCATCACGCATCTATGCATATTGATTGAGTATAATACATTGTAGAACAATAATTACTTATTGCTCATAATAAACATGCACTCCTTTTAATTTATGTTTAGCTGGTTGATTTATGTGCATATAGGCAACACTTGCATTAGAACTTCGCGTTCATGGATTATTCTTACGAGAAATATCATTTGTAGACCGGGCTTTGGGACTTCTACCTGATTGTTTTTCGCTAGGTCATCCCTAGCGTATCTATATTTTCTATTCTGTATCTGTTCATACAGCATCGAGAAGTGCCTGTATCCAGCAGTGGACGTAAGCGAATCGATGCTAGTGATTACAGTTCCTAGTCCTTTATCTTGTTTTTTGTTGAAATCGATCATTTATCTTTACTGACCTTCATGTTTACCCATTTTTTTATCTATCTTGAGAAATCAGTTTATACATTATGCCTAGAAGATATAGGTAAACTACGTTTATAGTTCGCGGTACAACGCACGTATTAGGTTTCATTCCAGGATACGTTAGTCTAAACTTCTTCTATTCAAGGAATTCTAAACATACCCGTTCATACTCCATGTTATTATGCGTACTTGCTTGATTTGCTTCGGTATTTTTGACAGTAATGAAGCAAAAAGTAGAGTTTTTCACCTAAATAGTTTTATCTTTTGGTGTGTATTGAATGCGGTATTACGGTAATTGTGGATAAAAACTGAACTTATATTCGTCTCTAGAAGGTTAGGACATAAAAAAAACCTTTGAAATAACCTATTTCTATTCTAAATTCCACAATTTTTTAATCCATTATTATACGATGAAACTCAATTAATGGTATCATGTCGACTCTGTCGAACCTTTCGTGAACTAATGGTAATGAACATACTGTATGTTTCAATCAGATAAAAAAAAACTGTGGTAACATCGATAACCATGTTAATGTGTATGGTAGTATTAGTGGTAGGTACTTTTCAGATATTTTTAATTAATTTTTAAGTTAGTCGTGAATTTGAATTTGAGTCGTAACACAACAAATGATCAGCATATTGTTTTAGATTCTATCCATTAATTTCATTGAAATGTGGATATGTTCTTAAATCACAATTTTCTTTGTAAATTATTTTTTTCTTCTTGTCCGTAGCAGATCACATCTCTCTGGACATTTCTGTACTGCTGGGACTAAATTAAGAGAATAAGGAAGTTTTAAAAAGCCAATACAATAGTTCATGTTTGGGATTTGACATAATTAGTTGAATGTCAGAATCAGTCCCGTATATTATTTTTTTATCCATTCGATCACAATAATGGTTTTGACTTTTAATTGGCTCTACCTTAATTAGCATAGCTGTTTAGTTTATCAATGGCGTAGTCTAGTAGTAGGTGTAAGGCCACTGAATAGGAGTAGATAATATATTATAATTTGCTCTCATTCCTTTTGTTCATGGTACAATACTAGGTACTGTAGAAATAAGTGCAAAATGTCATGGCGGCCTGGAGGTTTAAGGCGCGCGCTTCTCATGCATGTGACTTTTTCCGAGTTATATGTATGTACTACCTAAGGGCCGGTTTTTCTAAGGCCAAATAAATAACTGAGGAATACCATTGAATATTTGACAATTGTTCCATACAAAAAACTGTCAAGTGTAAATTTTGTTGTACAGTTAAGAATTAACTGATGATTGAAAAAATTGCCCTAAGATTATTTAGAAACCACTGACAAACGATGAACAAAAACATCGTGAGGCCCTAGCCCCCCTAGGGCTTACCTATAATTTCTAATTACAGGTTTGACATTGCCAACCGTATTGAGTTCTCTGTCTATACTAATATTATAAAGAGGAAAGATTTGTATTTTTGTATGTTTGTAATGAATAAACTCAAAAACTACTGAACCGATTGCAATAATTTTTTCACCATTCGAAAGCTGCATTATTCAGAAGTAACATAGGCTATATAATATCACGCTAGGTCCTATAGTTGTGGAGCAGTAACCAAAAATGTTTTAAAAACGGGGGAAAAGTATCGTTTCTGAGGCCTTCCGTGGCGTGCGCTGAGCATATAGTTAAAGTTATACAAAAATGTTCTATAGATGAATTGTTTATCTTAACATTATTTTTAAAAAAGTCCGCGAGAGCATATGTCTGCCTTTTATAGTTTACCCATAACAATCGTTTTAATGAATGGTTCAATCCTTATAAAAGTTTGCTCTAGATAACTTTTGAATTGTTCAATCGGTTACCTTAAGACGCGACATCGACAACGGAGGGCAGGTCGCTAAAAAAAACTGATAATAAATATAAATAAAACGTAAAACTATGTAAAAAATCTTAAGTCCCCCCGTGCGAAGCCGGGACGGGCCGCTAGTATAAGATAAGAAGAGGTCTTTGGTCAGCATTGGCCACTTATAGGCTGTTCATGATGAAATAAGTGCATAGTATAGAATTATAGATATACAATATACATGTGTTGTGCATTATGTCAAAGTTACGTTACTAGCATTGGATTTACGTAAACATTCGACTTTCACTGCATTTCTCGCGCCAATTCATACTGGTTGTGGAACAGCTGCTACTTACACGTTGTAAAATACTGGTTTCTATATAAAAACTCGTTGGTAATGATACAGTTCTGGTTTTTCTTTTTTATTTGATCGCTAAAATATATTCTGACGTTAGGTACCTATATCGTTGTTACCTAACAGGCGTTGCACTATGAGGGCACCGGAGTTGGTCTACTAAGAGGACCCGGTGCCCCCTTCAAGTGCGGATGGTGGCCACCGGGGAGGTTTTAGTGAGGTAAAAATCCCACACTCCCTAGTCTTTTTCCCCAAAAAGCTAGGCGCCTTTGGAAGGTTTCCCCCCGTCAACAAAAAAAAAGGTACCTATATCGTTTGCTAGAAAAATATTATTCCTATCGAAAGTTATTAAAACTCGTTATTAAACTGTCAAACACCAAGCGGTCACCGGTGACCGCAACCTATTGTTCTTTAATTGTGTCTATAAAACCGGTACTCGACGAGTTAATGTTTTAGCTCGCACCTATGTAACCACTAGGTTAACATATTATTTCATTGTATTTTTTTTTTAATCTAAAATAATGTTGAAAGTTAAACACTATATAGTATTCTTATTTTCTATAAAGACTATAAAATTATTAATTATACAATACAATGAATGGATTACTTAAATGTTTATTTAGCTTTGTAAACTCATTACACCTAAGAAAAATGAATAAAGTCCTTGCTTACACATGTATTGCAGATGATTTACATTCATTTATTTGAGTTTAATTTAAATGCAAATAACAGATGTTCGTCTATTTAAGTAAAATGAAAAAGGACCTACATGCAACTTGATATTTTTTTCTTACAAAACAATGTCCAAATAGTACCTAAATATTGATGTAAGTACTTAAGTATCCAACTACTACTTATTATGAAGCTGAAGAGTTCGTTTAATTTGTCTCAGAAACAACTGGCCCGATTTGAAAAAAATATTTAGGATAGTCCCATTTATGAAGGAAAGCCACAGGCTATAAAATGTAATATTAGTTTTAATCAACTGCTGGCTGATGTTGCATGAACAACACGAAACAAAAACGATTAAAATTGTGAAAACAATTTGTTTTTGTCAGCGTTTCGGGAACGTTTACACCCTGTATTATTTAAGCCTTTGACTGCCGACAGAAAATTGTTGAGGGTAAATCCTCCGCTATCGTGGCCCATACCTTGTCCCCTTCGGAGTCGCGGAGAACCTAACGGATTACCGGGGCTCCGGCTCGACGTGCAGGAGAAGCAACGGGGTGGTTTTTAGTCAGTAAGAGTCTGACACTCCCTCCCGCCTCACCCAGGCGGGAGCAGAAATTCGATGATTTTCCTCCCTTAAAAAAATACCTTGTCTCCCATGGCGTTCAAGGTGTTAAAGCGCGAGTGCAAAATAAGTACATTCAATATCAAAACGATTAAAAAATGCTACGTAGGGGAATATTACAGGACTTATGCAATACGATAAACATACATTTAATCAATTACCTATTTAGACAAAGCTGTTTTTATCATCACATCAATTCTTGATATGGTCATATCGTATCAAGAGCAAATTGTACGTCAATTTATTTAAGCACACCTACTGATCATGCGACAAAATGACGCCACGCCACGGTCATGACAGTATTTCATTTGTGATGTGTGTGACACCTATTTTAATCAAGTTGTGAATTATTCCATATATTCACTTCGATCTTGGAAGATACTGACTAGATAATGTGATCTCTGATTATTATTATTACAATTTATCAGAAGACGAGAATCAAATAACTACCAAAGGGCCAAGTTTTTAATGCTCAGATAAATTTTTACTAAGGAATAACTTTCAATATTTGGCAATTTCTCCATACTAAAACCTGTTAACCATCAATTTTATTCTATAAGTAGTTAAAAATTAACTGATGATTGTAAAATCGGCCCTAAGTTAATTATTATGTTTTTCGGCTTACTCACGTAATTATTTGACGAGGAACTAGACTAGTTTCAAGCCATGCCGGAGGCTCATATTCATGAGCAGCATTCCGCGACCCGCGACGCGGTAACTGTCGCGCTGCTACTAAAAATATTATTATTATTAACGTAACATACAAAATTAATTATTATTAATATAATAATTACTTTAGTAGGTCTCACAAAAGCTATAATGTAAATAAACTACCTATAAGTATATTCCCTTCTTCTGCGACCCATTGTAAACTTGTAAATCTATACATATAAAAGAAGCATCGCGTTAGTTAGGTACACTGTTCATTTATAACTCAAGAACGGATAAATGGATTTGATTGAAAATTGGTGTGTCAGTGAGGAACTGGGAAGGTAGATTCTTAATTCAAGGATTTCCCGAAACAGGAAAAACGGGATTGTGCGTACGAAGTCGCGGGTGGCTAGTATATAATAAGATAATCTGGCAGCATTTTACATAAGTAGGGTACCTATTATGCCTTTTTTCTTTTTAAAATATTTACAATAAAACTGCAGGAGTCTGCAGGGTTATTCCATTGCATTGACATTCAATTTCGAATGTAAAACCTAGGCATTGAACATAATAAGTTCCTCGAGGCCGAACTAAAGTGCCCTTCACCGTTCAAATGATTTTAAATAGGTACTTAGGTAGTGTCAATAATAAATTGAAATCGGATCTAGGTATTTATGTTACTGATTAATTCCACTGGCCCTTTGAGCCACATTTCTAATGAAAAATAAGTTCAGCTGTATAACGGATATTATCCATTAGTGCTCTATAGTTTAATCAGGTCGTAGTTAAATTAATTTCAAGTTTTAGCCGACTTCATTAAAACTACCTTTATTTGTTTATTTTTATTACAATAACATAGCAAATACGAGTGAAAACTTTAAAGACGCATATTTACTTCGTCCATACAAATGCGATGAAATTTGTTCTAATTTAGGCAATCCCTTTAAATGGTTGGCGTTACTCGGAACAACTAGATAATAATATAGGAATACTACTTTTATTTATTTGTAATTTATGACTACAAATATAATCTAATCGGTACCTACATGATGATTACCCACCGTACTGATTAAGATTCATGTGGGTGAATTCGATAATGGTTGCACGAAGGTTGCGGGTCATTGATTTAGTTAATCATTACGCCAATGTACTGAATTTATGAAACACATAGTACTTACTTAGCTTGTGCACGCTACTTCGGACGCGTTTTTTATAATATCTTCGATGGATAAGAACCACTATTAGTGCCTACGGGAGCATTCATATCATTTCCTACCATAGGTTCCTACTACATACACGCAAGATTTCAAATTTCTACGACTAGTAATAATTTTTTCTGTCAGAGAGACGCTTGATGCAGGTCACAGCCCATTTAATTTACAAGTGATTGGGGGATGTTCAGCATCTTCGGGCCGATGTGATGGTGACGCTGTCATCACTCAGTACCTAAGCCAGTCGCAATAACAGATTACAAAAGAGATTTATATATACTGTGTCGACTGATTTATTAGTTTAAAAAACAAATCTTGATGTCACGCAAAAACAGAAAATGAACAAGGAATTGCTAAGTAATAAATTAATAAATCAGCAAAAACGGAATATTATTGATCAAGTATAAGGAAAAGCAGTTTTTATGTAAGAGGAAATTAATAAATATAATAAATTTAAAAAAAATGTTAAAATGACTGACGGAAAAAATATACGCGTGCAAGGTGCACACGATTGACCTCTGTAGGTATCAAGGTCAGACATTTTATTATGTTCATACTTCATAGTTTCCAATCAAACTTTTCAATGGCCATCAGATACTACATGGTACATTATTTCCTGGTTACTACTATGGTTAATTACTATTTGAAATTAAATTAGACAGGACAGGAACAGGAAAAAAAATATCTCTTGGTACTTATGTAATCAAAATGGCTGTTGTTTTTTAGTAGAGACATTAAATTCATGTTGATGGAAAATTAGATATAATCTAAATTGATTACATAATCTTGTTGTTACCAGTTTCCCATTAATTAGGCATTCATTAATATGCAGGGCTCGGAGCTTTCTTTTTTACCTTCTATTCGATATCTGCCGGTGATGGTGTAATTTTTAAGTTTACTGTGATAAGCAAATCTTGTTACCTATCGAAACCAAAAAATAAACGTAAAGAATAGGTACCCAGGTGAAGTTAGTTATATGAGGCACAATTATCCCCCTGTATCCCCAACGATCCTCAAACTCCTAATCCTCAAAAGGCCGGTAATACACTTGTAACGCCTCTGGTGTTCCAGGTGTCAATGGGTGACGCCGATTGCTTACCATCAGGTGACCCGTCTGCTCGTTTGCCGGCTTATGCCGTAAAAAAATTAAAGCATAAATGAAGAAAAAAGCAAGCAGCCTAAAATCTACATCCAATCTTCATGCATGTTTTCCAGTGACTCCTTTTAAAATTGTCTTTTATCATTGTTTCAGTGTGCACAAGTAGCGACAAATGTGGTCGAACAGAAGCATCAGGTGTCTAGAGCCAAGAGAAGTCGAGCTCTTGGAAGCAGGGCCTTCAGAGGCAGCACAGTATGGTTCACAGGCCTCAGTGGTGCTGGAAAGACTAGCATAGCCTTCGCTCTTGAAGCTTACCTGGTGTCTAAAGGTTGGTATCTATACTAAAACCTATTTAATATTATGAAGCTGAGGAGTTTGTCTGTTTCAATGCGCTCCTAAATCTTGAAGATCTACGGAACAGTTTCGAATTTAAATCTTCTATTTTTGTTATTTATTGAAGGGGTAATTTAATTATTCTTATTGTTTTGGATAATACATTTATCAAGAAAGATTATAAAACATCACACTACGACCAATAGGAGAAAAGTAGCGGGTGAAACCGTGCGATAATAGCTAGTCTTAAATCTTTATTAGGACTATAATACATGCCATATTAGATAATATCAATGCGAGTTGTACACGCTCAGATCAACTGCGCACGCATGTAGTACTTTGCACGGCTCATGATTTAAAGGCTCCAGTCCGATAAGAAAGCCAGGGCAACCCGCTAGTTGTCATATTATTTGTGTATAGTACCTTATCTAATACATAAGTAATTTCGGAATAGTCAGTACATAACATCATCACGCCTTTTATCTCCGAAGGTGCAAGCAGAGGTGCACATTACGACACTTGATGCCACTGTACAAATGTAACACCCACTTTTCACTATTTATCTAACGAGTCCCGTGTAATAGGAGGTGAGGCTATTGCCATATACCAGGCACATTAACAGACTCCGTGCTACTACTGAGATTTAAAAAAAAAACCAGTAATTCTTTGCCCGACCCGTCAATCGACGAGCCCCTTGCCCGGCAGTCATATGCATGTAGTAAAGTTTACTACTTTTATTTATCTGTTGGTATAGATAAGAATGAACTACTACATAATTTTGGAGTAAGAATTGTCATTAAACTAAATTGAATGAGGTAACTCATTAACCACTTACCCGTAGTATTATGAATGGAACGTGTGACCTACATGATGGTAATTTGACACTGTAATTTGAGACTGAACAACAGGTACATACTTACTTACATTGTTACGTATGTTATGTATGCGACGACGAAGCAAATATCGGTAATTAGTGCAATATGGTATTTAGATTTACATAGAACTTATTAAGTCACTGGTTTTAACGTATTGTATGATTTACGAGATTTTTTCTTCTGCATTTGGGAGCAAAGAAATGGAACCATTGGCCTTTTTTCTTCTTTATTTCTTGATAGATATTTTCTTTTTTTAATCAGTTTTTTATTTATTAAGCGGTTTTTTATCTTTGGTATGCCAACCCCATCATAGGTACCTTTTAACAAAATGTAACCTATCATATTAGATTATTGCTTACAACAAAAAGAAAGGAAATTGAGTTACTCATCAAATACCCATTGTGATTAAATTACAATTTTTTTGTGGTTTCTGAACATGGTGAAGACAGAATTGACTGTAAACCTACATCCAGTTTGTTAAGTTTTAATTCTCCAATGAGTAATTCATTCCGGACACAATCCATTATCAAATATTGCGTATCCTCAACTTTATTGCAGACAGTAAATATTTTCTGAAATAAGTATTTCATTAATTGGTAATATCGTATAAAAGGCAATTTATTTACCTACCTTTAAAATGAGAGCATTTTTTATGTCATAAGTTTCGTGAGACGTACTAAATTAATTATAATGTTTTTCGGCTTACTCACGTCATTATTTGACGAGGAACTCGACTAGTTTCAAGTCATGCTAGTTATAAGTAGCCATGCATGCTATAATGAAGGGTTGTTTATAACAATTAAACGGTTAGTTACATAGTTATATGACCTTTGTTATCCGAATCGAAGTATCTCCATCACAAAAACCAATAATAACCTCGATTTAAGGTCATATCGTACGTACAATGTATAATATAACAGAAGATGACATAAAAAGTTCGTCCTTGTGCTTATCCAATAAGACTCTATTTAAACATGCATGCGGGTTAAATTCCTGTTTAAGTTAAAAACTAGATTAACGGTCAATCTAATATAAATGAAATTGGACTGTCTGTTTGTAATATTAAAATAACCGCTACACATACCAAAATAACATTATTTACAATTTTTGTCTGTCTGTTTGTTTGTACTGGCTAATCTGTGGTATGGCTGGACCGATTTTGCAACTTTTATTGGCAGGTAGCTGATATACTAATGAATAACATAAACTACTTTTATTTTGGAAAATGTTTTTTAAAATTCATATTCTACCCGGACGAATTTGGGGGCAACGGCTAGTATTAAATAAACTAATCACTTTATATGGTAATCTAAACATTTCATTGTCAACAAGCCGTGAGCCCTAGATAACTGCAGAGCATTTGTTATAATATGCATAACTGTACAGTCGAACTGTTCACAGTTAAATCATAAGGCATGTAGCCTGCATTAGTATAAAGCGTTCTAAAGTTAAACGTTAATTAATTTACGACCTAAATATCTTATTACATTGCAAAATAAGTTAACAAACTACAGGAAGTATTTAACCATTGATTAAAAGCTTTAATAACTCTACATATATTTGCAGGTAACTGATAATAAATTGAGACAATAAATAGTATTAATATCTAATATAGGTACATCACGTAACTCATCTGGCTTTAAAGACAATAAAATCTAAGGATATATTTATAAGAATCTTTGTGTATTGCCACACAGATAGAAATAAAATCAATGATGTACATGTATATAGTTACCTAGTGTGCGTAATTACACCGTTCAGAGCCCATGGTAAATTCATCGGATGAAGCCCCGTTCCCGATAATAAGAGAGAAGTTCTGATGAAAACCTCTGATCAGGGCCCACTGCCGGCTGAGAGCTGGTGGCATTTAGCCGACTTGCGACCCTGTAGTTACCTATGTAATTAAAAATCTTCTAATTGTTATTTTTTTATTGATTTATGAACAGCCAAGATGTCGTCTTTATTCTTTTAATTTAATTTAATTATAGTTCGACATGAATGTGCATTATGGTTATTCAAGCGATTTTATTATCTGGGTCGAGTAATATAATAAATAAATTAGCACTTAAATTAAAATAATACCTATTTTATTTATAAATTTTCCCTTGGCATAGCTTTAGTCTTAATTGTCATAGTTATTCTTATAATTGAAGTCATGATGTGAAATAGGTTGAATCTGTTATAGCACCTAATCACAATAAATCATAATTTAGCAATAATTATTATTATCACCGTATATAAGAGACTATGACCAGACATTAATTAACACCACAAATAGATAACAAAACTGTTAACCAAATAACTATATTAAGAGAAAATTCTGCGGTAGGAAACGTATTGCATACATATAAAACATTCACATATTACCTTTGTTCCCAGGTATTCCGGCTTACGGTTTAGATGGAGACAACATCAGGACAGGTTTGAATAAGAATCTGGGCTTCACCAAAGAGGATCGTGAGGAAAACATCAGACGAGTGGCTGAGGTCGCCAAACTCTTTGCTGACAGCGGAGTAGTTTGTCTCTGCAGTTTTGTCTCACCTTTTGCCGAGGTAAATAACTTGAGTCTTGATTTTCGTTGTTTGATTCGACCTTGAACCCAAGAGCTTGTGTTTGTGTCTCGTCAGAAATATTTCAAAGTTTGTCGTCAAATACCTATGTATGATTTAATAATTATATGTATGTAGGGACTTCTTACATTAGGACTTTTTTGACGAGAAATATAGGAGTATAAGAGAAAACTTGGTTAAATAAAAGTTTGATATCACTAGTCAGCCTTAAGCAAACGTGATCAATATTTATTCATTCTTCATTTATGTATAGGATGTACGACGGATAGTTGTTACAGGTTAGTATTTGAATAGATAGATAGACTCTACCTACACTGTTTAAAATTACAGCTATTTCAAACATACATTTACAGCATTTGTATTGTTGATGATTATTTTATTCACATATTTACTTACCTATATTAAGCTAAATTTTTTTTATTACCTATAGTAATTTTTGTCTTGCGGTTTTATAATATTCAAATAGACAACATATCGCAAAGTTCAATGACACTGCGGTTCATTTAGGCATTTTCGTGGCAGAGTTCAAATGATAAGTTAAAGTGACGAAATGTATTATTTTGATACATTTTGCTGATTCATTTTCTACTATTTTTGTCTTTGTGATTGATAACCATTTCTTATAATAATACTCATATCAAGTCTTCGGTGCCAAATCTTAAATTCTATCCATTTTAGGGACATTCAGTGTAAATAGTTCAGTTCTGTTTTTATAATAACTATCGTGAGACATACTAAATTAACTAAAAATCGCGGGTTACTCACGTAAATATACTGGGAAAAGCTCTACTAGTTTCGAACCACAGGGGGGTCTTTCTCATGAGCAGCGTGCGTTCTCAGTATATTCACGTGAGTAACCCACGATTTTTAGTTAATTTAGTTCAGTTCTAATGATTCATGCAGTATAATCTCTAGATGGGGCTTAGGGGGGCTTATGTTTCTGTTCAAAAAGTTACCATCTTTAAAATATGAAATTAAAATTAATTACTTTTGTTGCTACCTAATTACTCAATGCAAATCCATAGTATTTTTTTAAAGGCTTTTATATGATTTCTTTTATGCCTTTGTATGTATTTGCATATATAATGTTTAAGTAAATTACATTTCGTAATAATTATACTAGGCATTAATGAAGACTCATACTTTTAAAAATGAAAAAACAAACGTACGTAAATGACAATCTTCTTACTTTGCTTAATTTTTTTTTTTGGTAACTTTTTTGATTGATTCAAATATCAAGCAATCAATTTCAAGTTTAAGAAATTTAAATTTTATATCCACCTATAAAACTTAATGGAATTTCGTTCAGTCGTTTCGGAGATGTGCGCTAACAAAGATCCAGACTAACATACGATGTGATAAATTACAATCAATTTCGTAATTTGTATTTTGATTAAGTAAGAGTATACTGTATTTATGCTATTTTTTGTCTAGATCAGAACTTGTTACTTTTATGAATGAACAATTAAAAATAAACGTTTTAATTAAAGCCTTAATGGCATATAAACAGTAAAAACTTTTGATAAAACGATTGCGTAGCACATTCTAATTTATTATGGCCATTATTATAATCCAAACTTTTTAATGATAAACGTGTGAAGTTTTCGAGTATTTAGATTCTGTATGACGTCAAATATATTGTTCCATGTATAGTAAACGTTTTTGTAGTTCTCATTTAATATTAGTGTGTTATTTCTACTGCAAATTCGCCAAGAGGTAGGTAGTAGTGGACATAGAAACTAGTGCACTGTGATTATAGTTCAGAACTGCAATTCAAAAGTGCTTTTTTCCTGGCCTGAGAATAATTTTGATACAATTTCTTTAAAATCAGGTTTACAATTTACAACCATTCTAGATTGCCTACCCACCCTAAGGTATTAAATGACTATCTGATGATAGGTAATCATAATGTGAATTTTCGTATTGTTCTTACATACATACACGCAATGAAATTACTCGCGCCATTTTTTATATAGGTTGTTGAAGATTTCAAAACTAGTATTTTAGCCCATGATACCCGTGAAGGTGAAATAGGGTCGATGTCCGGCGATTTTAAAGTTTTTACGTATTTTATTGCTTCGCATCCTGCCATAACCTGAGTAATTAATAGAAAGATGGTACTACTATTATTATTTTTATACTTGTTTTGCTATCAATCCTATGGAGAGATGAGCATTGACCATGCAAAAGAAGCCGACTCAGTTTTATTTAACTGCCGAAATTAAAAATCGATTTCGACTCAAATCGATTTTCCATCTCGATTTTTTACATTCGTTGTATGGAGTTTCTGTTAAAACCTAAATCGATTTGGCGTTGTTCGATTGAGATCGGTTATTAATTTTGAGCATTAGACTTGCCCAGCCTTGAATATGTTTTTTCACAGTCAAAGTCAAAGCATTCATTTCAGTTAAATCTTAATTTATAGGCACTTTTGAAACGTCAAAAATTGAATTATCCGTCCGCCTGTCTGTCAGTATAATGCTAGGCGTTGGTTCGTTCCATTCGTTCCCTTTTTAAAAGTAATGTGAACGAATGCATTCAATGTAATCTATACTTATAATAAATCTGTAGAGAGGTCAATTCTGTACATAAAATATATTTAAAAAATAACTACCAAGGGGTGGTTAGGGATCGCCACTGATGCCAAAAATGCAATCAGTAAAATTTTTGTCTGTCTATCTGTCTGTCTGTATGTTCGTTATGGAAACAAAAACTACTCGACGGATTTTAACGAAATTTGGCACAATTATTCTTCATACTCTTGGGCAGGTTATAGTATACTTTTCATTACGCTACAATCAATAGGAGCAGAGCAGTGAAGGGAAATATTGGGAAAACGGGAGAAGTTACTCCATTTTTTAAGCTTCCGTCGCGTGTGCAGGCTTATAGGTTAAAGCTACATAGAAATCATGTACGACGGAAATATTCTCCTTAAAATTATATAAAAAATATTCCTCGACAGCATATGTCTATCTTTTATGGTTGACTCACAATAACACGTGAAACTCCCGATAGCTTAGCAATTCGGTGATTTCCGATTGTATTTGTCTACTCTAACGTTTACAATACTCATTCATAGACTTTACGCTGTAACCGAAACGCCAATGGTTGAGATTCGCTATTATAAATGAAAATATGTGAGTTTATGTGTATGTTTATTACTCAGTCATATTAAACCAACTGAAGGGACCGGAATGAAATTCGGAACAGAGGTAGATTATGGTCTGAAGTGATACATAGGCATTTTACCCCTGGGATCGCGGGCGAAGCCGCTGGCAGAAGCTAGAATAGAATAGAATAGAATAGAATAGAATAGAATAGAATGTCATTTATTTCCAAGTATATGGTACATTGAGGTTTTACATTAAATATTGTTTCACATACACTACCATTGCTGGTGTAGAAATATTATGTTAATCATGCTTTATAAAATAAATTTATAAAAAACTAGTAATTACAATAATGCCAAGTAAATTGATTGAATCACACATCTAAGATTTTGCTCGGTACATGACAGTAAATAGAAGTATCAGTGTTATTTCCATCAAAGTGTTAAAATATTTCTTATAATGTTTAAATGCTAAATACAATGTCAATATGTCAAAACGTATATTGTCAAAATACTAAACTAAAATACTAAATACAATGTCAGTCAATGTAAAAAAAAAAAAAAAAATAAATAAATTAAATTCAATGTCAAAATACTAAATACAATATCATAACATTAGATATTATAATGTCGAAATATTAAATAATGTCAAAACTTGTGATTTAAAAATTCATTAACAGAATAGAAGCACATCTCGAGAAGCCAAGTGAACATTCGATATTTAAATTTACTTATTGGTAACATTTTCAGGTCAGGTGATAATTTATTATAAATTTTAATTGCCATACAATGTACATTATTACTGTATAAATGCAATCTTTGTCTAGGTGCCAGTAGTTTTCCAGGATTTTTATTATTTAATCTGACAGAGACCTGTTCGTTTAATGGAAATAAATGTGGGTACTTTTTTACAAAAACACAAATTTCATAAATGTAAAGGCATGGCAGAGGAAGTACTTTTAGTTCCTTGAATAATGGTCTGCAATGATCCAAATATTCAGCGCCACCTAAGGCTCTGATACATTTTTTTTGCACTATAAAAGCTCTTTGCACATCTAGTTTGAAATATTACAATAATTAAAGCGCACATTCTCCGAATTGAGATCAAATGTCAGTATGACACATAACTTCAAGGGTCAATCAATTTGCCCAAGTTTTGTTTAAAAGTACATTGACATTACGATTATATCGTAATTCGTAGGCACAAGTAATCAATATGTTTTAATGATAAACAATAATACACATACATATTCAGTTGGTTACTCATACTTATTGCGTTGTGATTTAAAATGTTCAATATCGATATTTCTCTAGTAAGATCTAGTAAGACCTAAATACATTAGAAAATCGAATAGTCAATCTTTCAAGGTCGCACACACCATTTTTTTTAAGAACACACCTACCGAACGGCTACGTCAAATAAGATTGTTTTTTTTTTATATTTGATGGGGCGACGTTTGACCACTATCTCACCTGATGGTAAGCGATGATGCGGTCTACGATGGAGCATGTCGTCCCATAAGCAACCTATTCACTCGGGCCTTGAAGACTCCCAGGTTATACCCCTCAGGAAATACAGACTCTGGCAAAGAATTCCACTCTTTAGCAGTACGCACAAGGAAGCTTGAAGCGAAGCGCTTCGTGCGTGTGGGCGGAACATCTACCATGAATCGGTGACGCTTCGCGGATTGTCTTGTGGTTCGATGATGGAAAGGACTAGATGAATTTGTTTATAGTACCTGAAATTTTAACGTTGCTAAATGCCCTTAGAACACCGGTTTAAAGAAACTGCACGAAACATTGAACAAATATATTGAAAGTAATTATTAAATAATCTATATTATTATAATAAAAAACCCTTTTTAGTATTAATTTGACAGAGCTATTTTTAAGCAATAAAAAGTTCAATGTCCTATCTGACTTATACCAGCCCAATTATTGGCACACACGTTTCCGTAAACCGGTTTAATTATTAAAGACCGGTTATCGGTTAGACTTGAAGATTACCTCTGTATTGATTTGTTCCACAAAAGCTGTGCGAAAATATTTGGGAAAATAATGTAAACCCCTAGTAGGACACCCACGGTAGTCGTTTCATTTAAATATAATAGGTCTACTGGAATTTGACCTGTCGTGAGAGACTGAACTAACCGACTTAACAATTCAGGTGTCTCATAAACGATATAATTATGTTAATAGTTCGCGGAAGATTTGTCTTCAACACTTTTTTTTATTAGATAAGCGGGTAAATGGGCAGACGGATCACCTGATGGTAAGCAATCGGCGTCGCCCATGGACACCCGAAACACCAGAGGCGTAACAAGTGCGTTACCGGCCTTTTTGGAATTAGGAGTTTGAGGATTGTGGGGCCTCCGGTAACCTCACTCACACGTCGAAACACAATGCAAGCGTTGTTTCACGTCTGTTTTCTGTGAGGCCGTGGTATCACTCCGGTCGAGCCGGCCCATTCGTGCCGAAGTATGGCTCTCCCACACTTGTCCTACCGATAGTCCAAGAGTTAACCAGGATAAATAATGATGGTCTTTTTTGTCTGGTTAACCGGGAAAAGTGTCGGTCACTTCAGCCAAACAATTCGCCCGTTTTTAAACACTTTCTATCACTACGCGGTCGATAGCATCCATTACAGTACTGCTATAGCACTTGTATGTATATTTATCTCAGTTCTGTTATCACATTACTATTGTAAAGTGAGTTTTGTGAAGATAAGAGTATAGAGTTAACGACCAGCTAGTTTTCATTACAGTTCACACTAAATTGTCTTAACACGCTTGTTAAAACTGTCGTAATGAATGACGTAGATTATGACAATTAAGTCTAAAGTATTCTGAATGAGTTAACATGACTTTATTATAGATAGAAGAAGCTGTATTCTAATTAATTCCCATTATGTATTTAGAATATGTGTTGTAGCATAAAACGATTAAAGATTGTTCTCAGTATCTTGGTAAGTCTCTTCTTCTCTGTCGTTTCGCTCTTGGCAGAGCGATCGTGGTCACGTTGAGGCGGCCGTATTTGTGTTGGAGGCCGATACAGCTTTCCGCACGATCTCCCGCACTCTCTCTCTCTGTTTGTGGATTGTCTGGTGCAGTCTGACACTGGGTTTCCCGTTGCCGATTTGTTTGATCAGTCCAGCGTATAGGTGATCTGCCTCGTGATCTGGTTCCCTCCACCCTCCCCTTAACGACCAGGTCTTGGTAAGTACTAGGTAAATAATTTGCAAACAACCGATAATGCACTGTCTATACTACTGGTGTTTCAGTCACCAGCCACGGAAGAGTAGATTATATATTATTAGTAATTGGTATAAAGTTTAAAATAATTGTTATAAATAATTCCTCTCTTGTCACCAGGATCGTGAAGTAGCTCGCCGCATCCATGTGGACTCCGACCTGCCGTTCTTTGAGGTTTTCATCGACACTCCTTTGGAAGTGTGCGAACAGAGAGACACCAAGGGTCTCTACAAGAAGGCTCGAGAAGGATCTATTAAGGTTGGTGGCTTCAGCATAAATGTAAAAGAGCGGTGTAACTTGATCTTTAGTTGCGCCTGGCATGCAAGATATGGTGTTAGAGAAACAATGTGACCTGTTATGGTAATAGGTTCAGCATAAAATACTGGGAAATGTCGAGGATATCTAAGATGCCATGCAGTTGTATCTGGAGCCTCGTGGCCGGCGTGACATTTTCTAAAAAGGTTGTCCGTTTTAGGAAATATCGCGAGGAAATAAGAATTATTTTTATTAGGTCGCATTCTCCCGAGAAATGATTCCCGTGTTATATATTATGTCATTGTAATAGATAACAAAAATTATTATATTAAATCTAATATAAAAGATTCATGCGTTAAATTCCACATCACAAATCGTATTTGTTTAACAAATGCATTTAATTCCACGTCAATAATAATTAAAACAAACACACACATCATGTGTTATTTACAAAGCAATCATACTTCCATTATACAGTGAAAGTCATTGCAAATATTATGAACTCACTCGTTGTATTCGTTTATTATGTGTATTATAAATTTATTATTATAATTATTACTCAGTACTCATAAAATATGTTGCATTACCTTTCTGCTTCATAAAGATGTGGTTGTTATAATACGATATATATTATACTTAATAAGTTTACTATAGGAATATAATATACAACATGTAACGTAATTAACGCACACCCTCAAACACCCCAATTAGAATATTATGTTATAATCATAAGACATACACTAAATTTTTAATTTAACAAGTATATGCATCCTTACTGGTCTTGTCATAAGGTTTATTTTTCTTTATTTTGTATTGAATGATAGAATTTGAGAGAATACAAATAAAACTGCGATTTTAAAAATCTTATTCCTTTGACTTACGGTCCATTTCGATTTGTTTTAACAATTTCGATTTATTTTTGGGATAAAAAATTACCTATACTAAAAAATATATAAATCGATTCAGTTAACGAGTCTGAACAAACTATTTTCAGGATGTGCGTTATTTAAGTTACATGTTGTATATACTATAAGAATATAATTTTGCCATTATTTTATTTAAATTTCTTTGGTCGATATTAATATTGTCCGTTCTTCTCCCACAGGGCTTCACCGGCATCACACAAGAGTATGAACGTCCCGAGGCCCCGGAACTCATCGTCCAGACAGTTGGGAACTCCATCGAAGAGTCCACTATGCATGTCATACGCCTGCTTGAATCACAGGTAAGATATTCTTCACTATTACTTACTTCATTATTATAAGATACGACTGAACATATGTAGGTAAGTCTGTATCAACAACTTCCAGACTATGTAGATGTCAGTGGCGTGCACAGGTTTTCGAGACAGGGTAGGCAACATATCAAAATATCGTATGATTAACCCCCCCCCCCTCCGGTCATACAATCATGCACACACAAGACAGGTACATGTACAAATTACATTTCGAAAAGTGCGTTCAAGAATATTGTGGTTTATTCTTTCGCCAAATTACATACACTGACATCTCGCGTATTTTTTGTGAAGTACTTCATCAGCTATTGAATAAGCCAACAAAACTTACAAATAATGAAGGATCTATTATTTATTTTAATAATGAAGCATAAATTTGATGAACCAAATTTCATTATGGAATTGTTAAGTTTAATCAATCTGTTCAAAATCATAATATACATATTACGAATTTAAGAGCGTAGGTACCTACATTATGTCAACAAACAAAACAATAACAAGCGCGGCCGGCTGGGCCGAGCCGAGTCTATGCGGTTTTTTAGTTTATTACATTACATAGTTATTAATAAAAATTAATATGTAAATCAGTACAACCCGAAGTCTAAGTTGATATTTTTAAGAATTATCAAACAATAAACAAGAAAATCAAATAAACGATCCATTATATAGTACATATTTACATTACCTACCTTTTACTCGGGTCAATAGTCAATTCTCGTAACTCGAGTACACCTCTGCCTATGGTCATTACCGGAATCTAGTCCGATAAAGGACATTTTCTTTCGAAATCTTACTGTTTTTACTTTCAACAAACACATAAAATTACCTATTATCCACACAAACTTCACAATCAAATAATATAGGTAGTTGTACTAGAAACTGATAAACAAATACACTATTTGAAAAACCTACACATATATTTAACTAGTACTACACATATTTACGCAACTTTATGTTTAAAACTAATTCCTAATAATTTAAAGGAAAACATAAACAAAGCGATCGCACATCACATGAAAACAATATGGCCGAAAACATTGGAAATGAATTGAAGTCATTACCAATAGTCAAATGAGTGTTTATTATAAAAAAAAATTAGCTTAAAAATTAAGGTAATGCAGCGTTTAATTTAAAAAAAAACAAAGGTTAATTTAGTAAGTTAAATGAAATTGCATCATCGTCTTAAACCAATATTTCATACTAAAAAAACATTCATTCATATAATTTGAAACGTTGTAAATGGCGCCATCTTGACGTTTCAATAACTTCCTTTTAACTTTTATAATGATAAAGTCAACTCCTCGTTTAAAATTTCTATAAACCGATAACGCGTAAAAATGTTAAGCTTTAATTAAAACACTTGAAACATATTTGTTAAATACGCATTTTATAAAAATACATTCGCATTATATTGAACGAGTTCAGAAGTTTCAACAAAAAATTCAATAGATGGCGCTGGTGTACTCCATTCATCAGTACTTTACGATATACAGATTGTATCAATTTAAAACCTTTTATGATTTAATTGTTTTTAAAAATACAATAACTTGTTGCTGTTTTATTGTTTTAGAATTCATAATAAAATACGATCGATTTCCAAGTAATGAACGAACGATCCTCTAATTTTTTAGTTGCCAAAATTTTGTCAATCAACAGGAATCGTGTAATATAATTATGAATGGTTATTCTGTCACGTGACTATGGTCGTGATCTTCACGCATGCGCGGTGCATACTTTTAGTACATTATTTTTGTGACGTCACAACTGGCAACCAAGATTTAAGGAATAGCTGCGCATGCGTGGTGCGTACGGGGCGCATTCATTGTGCCCCGTGTGTACGATCAAAGGCGTGCGGTCCGTGTATAGTATATGTGAATGTATATTTATGTTAGCCGTTTTTTTACAAACTTTTATTATATTATTGAATCTTAATAAACGCGTTTGTACATTTTATGTATGTTATATATTCACGATATTTATAAGTCAGGCAAAGCCTATTCGCCTGTATGGACTGCACGCCACTGGTAGATGTACCTAATTAGATTCTAGAAAATGTTCTGTTACAAAAGACATGAAGTCAACAGCATACCGGGGATTTACATTTACTATTAGGGTGCGTCCACAACTGGAGAATGCTCCGCGACCGCGTGCTGTGCGCGTGCATTTAAAATTATTATATACGAACCTTGTATGAGTTGAGCACCAAACCATTGCCGTGACTGCACGCGCGCAGCTCGCGAGCGGCACATTCGCCTGATGTGGACGCACCCTTAGGCATATATTTAATTATCTCTAATAGCACGCTAGCTCTTTAGTGGCTCTTCAGTTCTCCCAAAGTGTAGGTATATCATCTTTATACATAGTTATTAAAGGGTAACTAGGAGGGGGGAATGTACTTAATATACGTTTTGACAGCAATGAAACGGCGCCATTAGCGTTTTTTTGTCATTTTATCGAACACCTTTTATAACAAAATGCTCTCATTTTGATAGGTAACTAAATTGCCTTATATACGACATACGTTACCAATTAATGAAATATTTGTATTAGAAAATATTTATCACGAAATGAAAAAGAAAAATCTAGTGGCTCCGTTACTTTGATCCAAGTGTATTTATTAAGATTTTTCTTCCAATCTTTCTGTTGTATAACCATAGTATAAAGAACAAAGTAGGTTATCTTCATACAAATGCTCCGCGCGCGGCTTATATGTGTGCGCCATAGTATCTATGCGTCGACGCACGCACACTTTAACAAAATCTCGACCCGTTTCTCAGTGCGCCAGGCAGGGCTGACACTGTACGAGGTTCGCGCGCGCTTCACGGCTTTTCGGCACTGTTCAATGAAATAAAAAATGTCTGATAATCGTAGAAGAACGTATTGCTGTGTGTTTGGGTGTCTTAATAATTAATCGATTCCAGAACTGTCTCTGTTCAGATTAGGTACCTATTGAACAGGAAAGGTAAGCTAGTCACTTTTTCTAGCATAATATAATTTGTAGGTACTTGATGATGAGATACCTACTTACTTATTCTTACTCTTATCATTCTTCATAGTTCCTACTCAACCAGAAATGTAATTACCTACTATACCTACTTAAATATTATAAGAAAATGTGGTATTGTATTGTTTATTTCACAGTTTATCTGATTGGTTAAGAGCGTAGCCGAGTCGCATTTTTCCATATAAATGTATTCCCAAATTTACTTTCTGAATACTATGTATAGAGCTAAAGTTTATTTTAAGAAGTTAATAATCTTTTTATAAGCTTTTAATTTTTACTAAATTTATAAATTGATAAAATATTCAATCATAATATGCTTTTCATTTCATAAATTTAGATCAAGTGCTGCTTGTTCGAAAATATTAACTAAAAGTAAAAGTGACAACCCTGGGGATCAACGCAAGAGTAGGCTAATAACTCGGCGGGCGGCCTTAGATAACCTACTGTGTTCTTTATACTATGGTATAACAGTACTTATTACCACAGATTATCGCGATATTATACAATGTGCGTGTATGTTTGCGTTGGATCAGGAAACGATCTGCAGCATTCAGTCTGAAAAAACAAAAAATAAACTCGCCGATATAAGGAAAACTGTTGACATTTAAACTGTGGGATATTTTGTAACTGGATTGTATAAGCGCTCGGATTTTGTTTTCTTTTGTACTAGCTTTTACCCGAGGCTTCGCTCGCGTCACAAAAGGATAAAAAGTAGCCTATGTGACATATACCAATACACACAGCGCCATCTATACCAATACTTTTGTTTTCCCTCGAGAATATCAAATCTTTCCGGGATAAAAATTACCAATACACACAGCGCCATCTATACCAATACTTTTGTTTTCCCTCGGGAATATCAAATCTTTCCGAGATAAAAAGTACCCTATTTTATTTAATCCGGACTTCTAACTTTACGTCTGCAAAAATTCGAAGTAATCGGTTTAGTAGTTACGGCGTGAAAGCGGAACAAACAAACAAACAAACTCACTTTCCGATTTATAATATTAGTAAGGATTTGCGGTAATTCAATCGGACAGCATCCTGTAATATAATATTGTAAAGAGGTGATGATGCTCAAGAGAAATCTAAATTCCAAACGGGCGAAGACGCAATAGATAGAAAAGTAGTGTTAAATAATTAAATTATTCGTTTGACACCTTGAGTTTGCGTAGCTATTAAACTGGATCAAAGCGGTTTTAATACCTCAGTGTTAGACTACAGTCCATATCTTGATAAATCAGGTACAAATAACTAGATTTTATCATAATTCCATTATCACTGCTCTTTTGCGTCATAATGTCTTTTACTAAACCTAGTCGCCTTTCAAAACCCTACTTTAGGTCGTAACTCTTGAAGCTTAAAAAAACAGTTAATTTGCTTAGGCCTCCGATGCATATGATTGCCAGTTCTATAAGTAGTAAGCATGACTAGGTCACATAATCTGATCGTTACTAAATCATAAATAAATGCAAATACATATTTTATTCAAATTGTAGCAATTCCAGGATTAAATACCTCCACACAAACAATCTCTTTGCCATAGTGATTTTAACAGTTAACCTTGAAATGAATACCTATTTCCTCCCTTTCCAGACCTTGGGAAACACAATATTAATTTGCTTTATTATCCAAACAAAATTCCAAAGAAAAATAAACGGTTTTACAGTTGGTATTCCCTTCCCTTTGCCAAGGCTATCATAAAATGCATTGACATGACTATGCAATTATATATTTTAATGTAATAAAAATAAGAACTAAAATTAATTATGACTTCCTGCAGTTATTTTAAAATGAATTGCAATTCATTGAAGTTTTATTGTTCGCGGTAAATTAGTAATCTTTGTGTACGTAAAATATTAATTGGAATATAGTATTATTAGGTATATTGTTATTTAGTTTTGCCTATTTTTAACTTTATTAAATTGTTCTGTTTACGGTACCTAGGTACTAATTTATAATTATATACTTCTGGTTTTATTTTATTATTTTTATGGCAACAGAACAATTAATTATTCTTATACTCTTTGACCTAATATCAATAGCGTGTATATTTGATATGTGTTTCATCAAATAAACTACAGCCTTAACAGATGGTGTCTCATTAATTTGTACTTTCAACTAATACATACATACATACATAACTTCTCCCATGGGGGTAGGCAGAGACTAAGGAACGCCAATTACTACGATTGTTACATACCCCTTTCGCTTCATTAACAGTCATCAATCTTTTCATGCATGCTCGTCGGTTAAGGGTACTTTTAATTTGGCCCTTCTTTAATATATCGCCAATCTGGTCACTATATGTCCGTCTAGGGCGCCCTCTACCGACGAATAACTAATATTTCAAGTAATATGAATACATTTTTTTTATAATAACTATCGTGAGACATGACAAAATATGTATTAACTAAAATCGCGGGTTATTTCGAAACTAGTAGAGCATTTCTCAGTATATTCACGTGAGTAACCCGCAATTTTAGTTAATACATTTTCTGTCAATTAATTTTCTTCTATCAATTCATGTATTCATGTATAACATGTATTCATAAAAATAGTTACAATTTTAATTATTTTTTTCCCAGGGCATAATCCCCTGTTTCGAAGACAGTCGCAAGAGGGTAGAGGAGCTGTTTATCTACGGCAACAGACTTACTAGTGCTATCGAAGAAGCTGCTAGACTGCCAAACATCGAACTTAATACACTCGACCTGCAGTGGGTACAGGTAAGGAACAAAGTAATATGAATTCTAAGTGTATAGTTATAAAGTTGAAGTTTCATTGTATGTTTGGGCGCACCTTTATATTTACATATCAAAAACTACTTAAAATCAATAGCAAAAAGTATATTTTCCCTTTTTAAATAGGAAAATATGTGTTACGTGTATTGATCACGAAAACAATATATCATGTTGATAATTATATTAAAAAAATCTCAACATAGCATGACTTATTTAGCTGCTAATCATAAAAAAAACCTACTGTCTACTTAGCATTACAGGACAGAAAATGGTAGTGTGCTGCCGTGGAATGAAAACGAAATTTTCACGGTGTATAAAACCATTGTTACCCCTTCGACCCTTATTCGATAAACCACGGGTTAATAAGTTCTTTAAATGCATTTTTTTCATTAAAATGTCTTTGATTTTTATAAATGAAGCTCTTTAGTATTTGTTATAATGCATCAGTAATATAATAAAATGGATTTGATTTCTTTTTTCTTACGAGAAAGTCCGTCAGTCCGAACTTGCAATTAGGCCTTTCATTATAAGACGACTATAAGAACTAGTTATTAAATAAAACACTAGCCTTAATTTCGCCTGTGGCATTGGAACCTATTCACTGAAAATCACATAAAAATCGTTCAGCACTTTCTGAGATTATCGCGAAAAGACCTGCATGATGGGGGATCTTATTATATGGTACATATTTAACTGTTAATGCCTAAAGTGGTCTAGCATAAGTATTCCATTGCATTTGATAAGATCTGAATGAGTGAATTAGCAGATCTTTAAGCTAATATAATGCAAGTATATTATTTAAGTAGCAAATATTACAGTAATATAAAATTTTCTTGTATTAAGGAAAAGATAAAATAATCACGTAATAGTAAGATTAGTTGATATGAAAATGCTTGAGGTAACGATTTCCTCAGTAACACATTTTTGTACTTGTTCATAATGACTGCGCCCTTTTCAGGTGCTGTCTGAAGGATGGGCGTATCCTCTGAAAGGTTTCATGAGGGAACATGAATATTTACAAGTAAGTTTTATTTTTTATTATTCGGCATTTCTTCTCAGAGTAGTCAGTTAGAAAATGTCGGCCTCATCGTTCGCTTGATAAAATTGATGTGTAAAAGTGATGCCTTGTAGCCTATTTGCAGAAATAAATTCACGTGTTTCACTTATTTTGTAACACTTCTTTTGTTAACATAAGTATAGATTAAATTTGGCCGAGTGGTCGCAAGTGCGACTGCCGGGCAACGAGTCTCGGGTTCGATTCCCGGGTCGGGCAAAGTATTTCTGGTTTTTTTTTAAATCTCAATAGTAGCACGGAGTCTGGATATGTGCCCGGTATATGGCAATAGGCTCACCCCCATTACATGGGACTCGTAACATAAATAGTGAAAAGTGGGTGTTACATTATAAAGTGGCACTAAGTGCCGTAATGTGCACCACTGCCTACCCCTTCGGGGATAAAAGGTGTTATGTTATGTTGTGTTATAGATTAAAATGTAAGATACACTTTTTGCTAATTTTTTTGTTTTTCTTTTAATCTACAATCAGCCTATATAATCAGATGAGATGTCATGCCGTTAGGACTTTGGAGAGTTGCACTTCCTGTGACATGCCAACTCCATTTCTTTTTTTCTTGTTACTCAGTTTATATGGACGCCAGTTGCTGCGCTTTTCGCCAATTAAGACCCATATAGTAGGGACAGGCCTATTGGCATAAATAAGGTACAATTCTGTTAAAAAAAATCAAAATTAATGAAACCAATACTACATTTACTGTCCCTGGAACCGAATCTTTGCACTTTGCCTTGTTGCTAAAGTGCTTAAAAATTTCCCCAATATTATAAAAATGCGTCATTGTTGTAGATAATGACTGTATATTGTTAATCTGTTCGTCCTTTACATCAAAACAATATAAAAAAGATATAATATAAGGATTTAGATGTACAAATGATAATAAATATAACCGCATTATGATGCACTCCGCGTAACGTCGTGCGATCATTTTATTTATTATACACAAACAAATTTTTGACATCGTAAGATATGGAACATGTAGTTTTGGAAACAACGAAAGACTACTCAATTAAGTCGCGCCCATACATCCCCAAGCGGTCACCGGTGACCGCTCTCTACTAACTACATTATAGACCTTATTTCCAATGTTTAGAGACTACTTTTGTATGAACAAATTTAGGGGATGAATTTCAACTGGTTAAGTATAGTTCCGTCAGTACAAATATTTGTCAAATGACAGAGATGGCACACATTTTTTTTAAATACATCGTTTTGAGTACAAAGTATAAGTACATACAACTTAAATAGTGAGCTTTCAGTATTCGGGCGTTAAATACTGATTCAGGAATTGATGTCGGTATTTAAAGGACTGTCTAGAAAGATTTCACTTGATTCTAGTCTGTCCAATGTCTTTATAAAGAACATGATTACATACATATTGTCTTGCCTCATCCCATAAGGATAAACTCAAAGAATAGGACGCCAAATAGCACGATACTGGCATACCTTCTCTACCATATCTACTTACTTAACAAAAACAAAGCTGTCAATTAATAGGGGATACTGTATTTTTGCTCACAAGATGGCGTTAACGTCGACCTCTTATATATTTCGTCCAATAGGGAATAAGCTGTCAATTAATAGGGGCTACTGTATTTTTGCTCACAAGATTGCGTTAACGTCGACCTCTTATATTTCGTCCAATAGGGTATTAGCTAGTGTCACACCATTGGATGTTCAATGTTTGACAGCTGCAGCGATTGGATAAACAGACTTTTTGCTAGATGTGAGCAAAAAAACGGTAGTCCTCATTGTCATAAATGCTTTGACTTTGATTTTGTAACAAACCTTATTACTTCCAGGCTTTACATTCCAACTGCCTAACTCTGGCTGACGGCTCAATAGTCAACCAATCAGTGCCAGTAGTTCTACCAGTCGACACTGAAGCCAAAGACCGTCTGACTGGTGCCAACGCCATCGCCCTCACTTACAATGGGAAGGCCGTGGCCGTACTCCGGTCTCCTGAGTTCTATCCACACAGGAGAGAGGAGAGATGCTCCCGACAGTTCGGTATTTATCATACTGAACACCCTTATATCAAGGTATGTAAGATTCAGTTTTCAATGTCTCACTTATCTGTTTGAAATAAGTATTTTAGTGTATATTTTTCTTTAAGTTCAGTGTCTTGCTTTATAGAAACCAAGAGTATGAAGTTTTTCCTTTTTCGTTTTCTGTCAATGGATTTCGGAATAGAACACGTTACAATTTACAATTTAATGATCTGTTTTATGCGCGTTATAAACGCGCCCGCCACATATGCGCATTTGGCGCAAAATATAAAGAGTATTTGCGCAAACTCATTCAATGTGCAAGTAAATGTAATTTATTTTATTCTTTTTATCATCAGATGATCAAGGAAGCCGGAGATTGGTTGGTGGGCGGCAACCTGGAGGTGTTTGAGCGTATTCGCTGGGACGATGGTCTGGACTCCTACCGGCTAACGCCCAACGAACTGAGACAGAAGTTCAAGGAACTTGAAGCAGATGCTGTATTCGCTTTCCAAGTATGTACTGTTATTTTTTTATACTTATCCATAATTATTACACCCAGAGGTAGTTAGACGCCATATTTAAAATGACCAATAACTATCGTTACATTTTTGACGTCTTGCAGCTTCTAAATCTCATGGAATCAACTTAGGTTTTGCAGTTATTTATAATCGTTTTTTTAGTATGCGTAGCGAAACTACTCTATAATATCATCCAAATATCTTATTAGACTTTAGTCCATTATCACGACCATGGTATCACTATTGAATAATAATAGTTCAAAGTCAAAGTCCAAGTCAAAGCAGTTCAAAGTCAAAGCATTTATTTCAATTAAACCATAGTTTGGTACTTTTGAAACGTCACCAAATACAAAATAAATAATAGTCTGTCAGTCAGTCCGTCAGTGAAACTAGGTGAAGCTAGGTTATTAAGAACATATTATGTTATCCTAATTCCAGCTACGTAACCCCATCCACAACGGCCACGCGCTACTGATGCAAGACACGCAGCGTCAGCTAGTGGAGCGCGGCTTCCAGAAACCTGTGCTGCTATTGCATCCTCTAGGTAAGTGTGTATAGAGTTCATTATTGCTTGAAAGTTAAAAATAACCTCTTTTTCTTAAGTCCTTTAAAAGTAGCAAAAGTGAGTAAGTCCCCATTGTCTGTCTGAGGCCTTAGTACGAGTTTCTTTTACCATTAAAGTAAACGTAACGAGTACGCGTTCGGCGCTGTGATTGGCTGGCTCCAATGAATAAACCAATGAGAGCACAGAATGCTGTCTCGTTTCAATAACTTTAAACGAAAAAGAAACTCGTGCTAAGCCCTCTGAATGCCTTTTCTTAAATAGTTTAAAAGTAACAAAACTTGTAAGTTCTCCGTTTTCTGTCTGAATGCGAACTGTTCAAAAATTATCAATTGTTTTTCATGAATAAAATGGAGCTCCCATTCGGAGACAGAAGAACAGACAGTCCCTGTACTATTGTGCTTTAATTGGTGCTCTAAACAATTTAAAATGTTTATTTCTCCTCAGGTGGGTGGACAAAGGACGACGATGTTCCTCTAGACGTGAGGATCAACCAGCACAAGGCCGTGCTCAACGAGGGAGTACTGGACCCGCAGGCTACTGTACTCGCCATCTTCCCATCACCCATGATGTATGCTGGACCCACTGAGGTGAGCTAATGATTGTTTTTTAACGTAGTCATATAAAATTTAATTTACTTTTTATTTTTCATACATATATAGTGGATTTTGAACAAAGTTTTCATTCAATATAAAGAGAAATTGACAGCCTGTATAAAAAGTTAAAAATAGTACTTAGCTTGTTATCATATTGGTGGCAAAGAGTATAACTTTTATAGTAAAATTCATCAAAATCAAATTAGATTATACTACAAGGTCAAGTCTATTCCTTGACTACTATGTTTTGTCTGCACCAATAATACCCAATTTGACCATATCAACAAATATCTATAACAAACTCCATCACCCAGGTCCAATGGCACGCGAAGTGCCGTATGAACGCGGGCGCCAACCACTACATCGTGGGCCGCGACCCGGCCGGCCTGCCGCACCCGGCCGGCGGCGGGGACCTGTACGACCCGCGCCACGGGGCCATGGTGCTCAAGATGGCGCCCGGACTTAATGAACTTGAGGTATGGTACATGATTCATGAACTAAGTATTTATATATATAGGGTTAAGAAAATTTGATTAACTTCGGTGACTAAGAAAGTGTAAGGTCGTCGAAGTCGTCCCGCTTACCCTGAATCCTAATAGAACGCATATGCGCAGGCGCATCATCGCATGATCGCATTTTTTATGAGTGTTGCTGGCTTTGATAGGGTGTTGTGCCTCCGGAAATCTCACTCAATAGCGAAACAACACAAGCGATGTTTTACGTCGATTCATTCGTGCTCTATTATGCGCTGGTCATGTTTTATTGATACACCACCTGAATTAAGTTATGGTATGAAGTAGACAAATTATGAAATTTGATAGGTAAAAAATTATAGTAGTTGAGAATGTAAAGAGAGTCTAAGAAGTGGTTTAAGAGATATTATTAATTATTATTGTTTATATCGCTTTATAGTTAAACTACAGCACTTAAAAACTATAGAGATGAACTCTCTATGTTAAGCTAGATGGAAAGGTAACATAATGCATTTTCTCCAGATCATTCCATTCCGCGTGGCTGCGTACGACACGTCTGTCGGCAAGATGGCGTTCTTCGACCCCACTCGCAAGGAAGATTTCGACTTCATTTCCGGAACTAGGATGCGAGGTAACTTCTACTGTTCATGCTTCTTTATTGTTACATTGAAAATTGAACTTTATTGTCTGCCTGTCTTGGTTCAATGGCAAAAATCTTGTATTCATGTTTAAGATTATTTGAAACATTGATCTCGATAAAAAGCTATTTATTTCATTTAACAACTAAACATTATTAACAAAAAGCATTATTCGGTTATTGAATAGTTGTACACTTAAAACATCTTAGAAATATTACTAATTAAATATTTTGTCTAATAAATATTTCATGTAATAAATATTTTCTAGGTCTTGCTAAATCCGGCAAGGAGCCGCCAAAGGGCTTCATGGCACCCACAGCATGGAAAGTGCTCTCCGAATACTACCAATCACTGAAATCCAAGATGGACACCAACTAAACAAATTACAAGCAGCTAATAAGTAAAATTAACATAAGTATTATTTTACTGTCACAATTATAAAGGCCTCAAACGTAACGCTAGATTTTATAGAGAAATAAGATATTTCGCTTTTATTTTTAAATAAGGGAGCATTGATTTTATGATGCGTCGGTTGTAAATTAATAATAATAATTATGGTCTATAACATTAGAGCTCGTAACGTGGACAACTGTAAGTGTATATGACACGCCTGCGTACTCTTTTATGGAATAAAAGTTAATGTTATGCTGGCAACAAGTTCTTTCCCTATTACATGGTACTCATAACATGATAGAGTATGAAATGGAAGGGAATGAATATTAAAAAGCTAATTAGTCCGTCAGTTAGATAATGAAAAAATATTTTACACGTATTTTTCTATTTTCACGTATAAAGTTACAATACTTAGATAAAATGGAGTTAAGTTTAGGAGTGGGAAGTCGTTACGTCACAAAGTGCTACAAAATGTAGCGCATTGTGACGTTACACGGTATTTCAGATTAATATATCATCGAAAGTATTTTTTTTTAAAGAAACGTTGCCCCACATTAGGATTTTCTCCTGTGTCGTGGGTGCGTTTACAAACATACAAATTCACATACACATGACACCCAAACCCGGAACAACAATTTGTGGATCACACAAAGTGTTGTTCCGTGCGGGAATCGAACCCGCGACACGTTGCGCGGCAACCGGTTGCCCACCCACCGCACCAACCGATTTTACCGACCGATAAATTTAATTTTGTAATGTTTTAAATTAATCTACTAAACGGAATTTAAAATTAAATTTAGGCAACTACCCTATTGTTGATAAGTGGGTGTTAGATTACATGTGTGTCTAATATTTTTTCATTACCTAACTGACGGACTAATTAGATTTTTAATTTTCATACCCTGTCATCATCCCTATTCTTTGTAAAATGACAGAGATGGGATGATATTTACGTGCAATTTAAAATTGAATAACCAGAGGCCTTAGTACCAGTTTATTTACTTTAACGAGTACGCGTTCGGTGCTGTGATTGGTTGGTTCATTGGCGCCGGCCAATCAGAGTGCCGAACGCGAACTGGTTTCGAATACGTACTTTAAACATAAATCAAACTTACTAAGGCCACAGTATTCGGCTGTTAGATCGTCAGTCCGAGCAACGTAATGGAAGATAATTTTATTACCATCAATGTCTAATATTTGTGTTCATTGACCATTATAATCGGCTCCTAACAATAGGATTATGTCTACTACTGATGAAATCAACTTAGTATGAGTACTTTATAAGTTAGAATATAATTCTTTATTATACAAGTGAGATTTATAATCAACATGAAGGTTCTATAGGGCGATACGTACATTTTATTTTCAAACTACATTAACATGTAATTTTATTTATTTCGCCTTTTTACCCATCCGTATGGGACAACGCTCTTTATTTTATTCAAAACAAGGTCGTATTTTGTCTGTACTATTTACGGGTGGGGTGTACTTAAAAATCTAAATATGTGCAATGAAATCGACATAATATTCTGTGCAATATATTTTTTTATAGTTACATTATGTATACGTGTTTAATTATTCCTGATTCAGACATTCCTTGAACTTACTCTACTATTTTGTAAGTTATGCATTTCTTTTATTTATATTTACACAAATATTACTTCAATAGTACGTAATATTATTACACAAGACAATAATAATTACCTGACGTTATATTTATTATTCATTTTATTAAAACTCTATCAAAAATTATTGTTAAAACAAATCATTATAATGATTAATTCAATGTTATGAAAATCGGCCCAGCCGTTCTGGAGTTTTAGATGACGTAACTTATTTTTATTTAGATATTTTAATATTATTATGTTATAATTATATTATTTGAAGTTTAATTACTTATATACATAAAGGTTTTGACGTAATATGTAAAAGATCAATTTATTTTCATTGATTATATTACTATGTATTGTTTTTATTTTATTACGTAATCATTACACGATCATGCGAAGGGACGTATTGTTAATTTATAAGAATTTTAATTATAATAAATTGTTGTAATTTTAGTAAATAAAGGTGCTTCTAAAGTTAATGTAAAATAAATATAAAAGTGATATTAAGTTTGCGTTTTATTCATATTTATAATGATGCTATTTAATCGGTCAGTTTAGTACGAGTAATCTCGAAAAGTGCTGTGTGATTTTAGATATGTTGCGATTTTTAGATAATAGTGTTTAATGTATAGTGATTGCTTTTTCTATCATTGCTGATAAGGTTATCTTCTCACGCAGTTTAGCTTTGGTTTTCAACTAAAAGTTGAAATTAAATATTTTACATTATTATAATTTTAAAATGTTGTTTACTTACTAAAATGGAAACTCTTACCGACATCATGGAATTTTCGAATGGAATGGAATCATCATTAAATAATTAACTTTCCGAGTAATCATTTTGGCATTAGTATAATATTCGATGACATATTTTCGAATAACCAAATGTAAAACGAAAGTATATGTAATAGGCTGGTTTTAGTCAATTGACTAAATATATATAATTGCTGATTTAATTTTTAAATCATTAACCGATATTGAACTGTTAATGATATATTGAAATGCAAACTATAAACTTTACGTGTGTAACTTATCATTAAATTAATAATGGCCCTGGCAACCAATCACGATCATACAGTTCTCAATGTTACCTATTATTATATTAAAACACATTTTTATCAAAAACCAACAACGAAATGAGTAATTATCGTAATCCTTCACGTTATCTTGTTTGTCAAAGGAATTGCGTCTTTATTATCAGAGTGGAGAGTACAATTTTAATGATATACATTCAATGATAATGGGTGGTTTGTGCCCGTTTGTTTCCGTGCAGTATCGAGTTAGCTTTATACACGGCAGGTTGTTACGATGGCTGTCCGACTAGGCGTGAATATTTTACGTAAATGTACAGGTAAAACCGGTACTCGATGCATGTCACACTATCCAATAGACGAATATGTGTTTGGACTTACTGCGGAACAACAGCAAGTAAGTTTATTTTTTAATTATGGACAGATGACTTGAATAAACATGATAATAAAATGTGTCGTAATATTTCTTTGTTGATATGAAGAGTTTCTTGTGTATTGGAATGGAAGGAATAGTTCAATTTATTGTAAAACGTTTGACCCCGTAATGCTCATGAATTTTGTATGATTAGTATACTGTGCGTGCTAGTTGTGAAACTCATTCATGATATCGGTAGAGCGGTAGAGCTGTTTAAGTAAGTAATGATAGCTATCGTGGAATCTTGTTTATGTAGTGTTCAGATAAGTATGTGACTTAAAATAGTAACTTTTGGTAGTTATGTATTACTCAAGCTTGTTTTGTTTTTTTATTGCTACATTTTATAAGATATTTACCTTATAAATACTATCTATTTTGAGTGTTCCTCTTGTCTACTCGAAACGTCTAGGGTACACAAAAATAAAGAAAACAAATAGAGTCGGAATCGCCTGGTCATTTTAAATGTAATTTTTTCTTTGTAGCTTCTAGTTTGATAGAATTTAGACTACTTTAGATACGGGTCTATTGTGGAGAAAGTCGGTAAGTATTGTTTACTGCCTTGCCTTCTGGATTGGAAGAGATGAGATTAAATAATAATTAGGAATGACGTCCAGTACAAAAGACACGCCCCTATCTCTGCAAAATAACAGAAATGACGCAATAAATTATACAATAACAAATAATATCTATAAAGACTAGGCAAATAAATGGCTGCTGTGCTTGTGCGGCATGGTCTCTAACAAATTGTTGTTCTGAGGTTTAGTGTCATGTATTGAATTTACATATTTGGAAACGCATCATAGTTTTACCATTGGATATGAAGTAAAAATATTTCTCTCTGTAATTTATGTTTTAAAACAAAATTTAGTTGTTATCTTAAAAATAAACACCACGCCACCTTATTACCTTTCAGCTCCGCCAGTCCGTGTTTGACTTCGCACAAAAAGAGTTGGCGCCAAAAGCGGGGGAAATAGACAAAAACAACAATTTTCCAGAGCTAAGGGATTTTTGGAAAAAATGCGGAGAACTGGGATTGTTAGGTAAGTTTCATATTTTCCTAAAGTATACTCGTACCCTGAGAGGTGTAAAATGGAATAACAAATTAGAACCGCTTTTTTGACAATGAGGGTAGGGAGGCCTTTGCCCTGCAGTGGTACACACGGCTACACATCGAGCTTTACATAACCGGTATAAACTGAACGTTCAATGTGCGGAAAGACGATGCGACGCGGCACCAGGATAAACTGGTTATGTATAAATTGATGTGTGGCCGTGTGTACGACCATGGCTAAAAATAAAATAAAATTTTTGACAATTCTAAGCAGGTACTTTCACATCCCTAAAAGGACATCTGATATACTTACTTATGTATATACATGCCTCTGTACCCTGTAGGTACCCACTGCCTAAATAATTATAATACGTTAAACGATTTACTTACTATTTTATATTTTGGTAGGAATAACCGCAGACCCGAAGTTTGGCGGTACAGGAGGAAAGTACTCGGACCACTGCGTCATCATGGAAGAAATTTCAAGGTACCTATTGCATGTTCTATTTATATTTTTTCTCAGAATCGGAAAAAGGTTATTGGGCCTGGAATTCAGGTCAATCGAAACAATCCCAGGACCATTCTATCACATGAAACCTTTCTAGGAAAGCTTTTTGGAAACTGTTAACAAAATTGATGAAAATTGGGTTTTTTTATTTAATATTATGTGTCCTAACCACAGATATAGATAGTAGATAGTCCATCTATATCTGTGGTCCTAACCTATTCCTTTGGGGAACAGTGTTAGGTATGTTAATTTGTCTTGTTTTAAATAATATGAGAATTGAGAATTGTAACTTCTTAAGAGGGATTTATGTGAGAAATGCAAGGATGCGTAAATATCAAAAACCTTCACCTAAATTAACTAAAGATCGCGGGTTACTCACGTGAAAATACTGAGGAAAGCTCTACTAGTTTCGAGCCACAGAGGGGCTCTTCCTCATAAGCTGCGTGGGTGGTCGCGGCGATGTCGCGCTACTAATAGTAAATATTTAGTAAATGTAGTATACTAAATTGAGAGAGACATATTTATTTATTTATTTAAATAAATAACATATCACGATAGTTATTAATATTGGTAGGCTGATTTAAGTTTTTTATGTACTTGCTAATAGCAAACAATTTAGTACCTACTAATAATATCTGTTATTTCAGAGCGAGTGGCGGAATAGCGCTGTCGTACGGAGCACATTCCAATTTATGCGTCAACCAAATCAATAGAAATGGGTCTGAGGAACAAAAAAGCAAATATTTACCAAAGGTAGGACACCTATACAGGCCTTACGAATACTCCATTTGAGTTACTATTATGTCCGTATGCTTAAATGTCACTCAATTTTAAGTCGCGCTTGAGTACCTATAGTTCGTAGTAGCTTGAGTAGTAATTTGTATTGACACAAATTCTTTGTAAATTGACGAGATGGCACGATATTTAAATACTTACAACTTAACTCGCCACCCGACCAGAACCAGATCGCGTTTCGCGCATGCTTCAAGGAGCTATCAGACCAACACGGATGGTGCCCAAAAGGGCTGATGCCGATACGGAGCCGCGCAGAACGTAATATGTTACCGGACTTCCGGCTCGAAGTGCAGGAGTAGGAACGGGGTGGTTTTTAGTCAGTAAGAGTCTGATGACACTCCCTCCCACCACACCCAGGCGGAAAAAGTCATTCGATGCTTTTCCCCCCTTAAAAATAAATATGTATAAATTTTTGAACAACTTTAAATTGAGTAGCCTTTCACTACTGAAAGGCTAACACCTACGCGTTAGACATGATTACCTAGGCGATGATTGCAGGGTAAAGATATTTTATTTACTTAGTAGAAACAAGTCTGTATTTTCTATAGCAAATATTCTTGAAACTAGTGCTTTATGAGACATGACACACCTTAGACAGACTCTCCAACCTTATTACAATACAGTAAAGTCTTAATTACTGCTTTAAATTCACAGTTATGTTCAGGAGAACATATGGGTGCTCTAGCCATGTCGGAGCCCGGGTCAGGTAGTGATGTCGTATCAATGAAGTTGCGTGCTGAGAAGAAAGGAGATTACTACGTGCTCAATGGAAACAAGTTCTGGATCACCAATGGACCTGATGCTGATGTTTTAGTAGTAAGTCTAAAATACAAAACAGTATTAATACGCAACTAAGGAGTAAAGGTTTAATGACGTAGCGTTTTGGTACTACAATAAAATAAGTTACAGAATATTTATTGTCTCCCTGGTCGAATTAAATTGTTTTTATACTCATTAATTACCTACTTATTAAGTATCTATTGAGTACAACAAAGGTGAGGTGATCCATAATTTCACCTAGATCTAGACTTAGTGCTACAAATTATGATGTACACACGGCCACACATCAATCTATACAAAACCAGTTTATCCTGGTGTCGCGTCGCATCATCTTTCCGCACATTTAACGTTCAGTTTATTCTGGTTATGTAAAGCTCGGTGTGTAGCCGTGTGTACTAAATTAACAGAGGCGCTAGTCCGAGTTTCTTTTACGTTGAAAGTTATCGAAACGAGACCGGATTCGGCGTTCTGATTGGTGGTTCTTTAGAGCCGGCCAATCCAGACCTCAGTAGTCCTTACAGCTACTAGTTCATAGAGAACTTAATTAATTCTTCTATATTAGTAAAACTAGCTGTTGCCTGCAAATTCGTCCGCGTAGAATAAAGACTTCTAACAGAATTCTACGACTATAACAAATGTTATTTGAATCGATTCGGTGCCTTAGTGAGATTTATTTTGAAATAAATTGGGTATGTTAGTAGTAAAATTATGTTGTTCCATTACAGGTATACGCCAGAACAGATCCTTCTACGAAGCCACAGCACGGTATATCAGCGTTCCTTATAGAAAAGAACTTCCCAGGGTTCAGCACTGCACAGAAGCTTGACAAACTTGGAATGAGAGGATCTAACACTTGTGAATTGGTGTTTGAAGACTGCAAGGTACAACTTATTTATTTTTTATGGGATTGGGGGGAAACGAGCAAACGGATCACCTAATGGTAAGTTATCAGCGCCGTCTATGGACATACGTAGCACCATAGGATTTCCTAAGTGCATTAACGTCCTTTTGAAATACCTACTTATGCTCTTTTCGTAAAGATTCCTGTTCAGAAATATCACAGGCAAATTAATGTTGACTACACTGTGTAAAATGTAGGTAGGTACCTACCTAATTTTATGAAATAATAAAAATAATTTTAAATTTATAATTTAAGTGCATACGTGATTATGATATAAAGATTATTATTTATTATTGTTTTCCTGGTTGCCGAGTAATTTTCAGCGTTAGGTATCTCATACGACATTACGAGATCGTTAAAATTTTAATTCTTTAGTGCTATTTTTATGCAGTCCCTGGTAACAGGCGATAATATAGCAATAACAAACTATCGTAATCGCCATGATATCTATGTATTAATACACCACCCTGAATGTAATTGCAAAGACTATAGTAGATACATAAATAAATTAAAAGTTTTGAAATTAAGGAATTGAACTCCTTAGTACGTGGGCAATAAAGTCTATATTTCTATGTATTTCTGATTACATTATCTAAATAATTGTCAAATGCATGAATTTTATCTTATCCAAGCTAAAAATTTAGTAGGTAGGTATCTAATGTCCAAATACTCAAACTCCACTCATTTTTAAGACGCGCTATAGTAAAGTTCTGTTAGGTACTACAAATTCTTTGTAAACTGACAGAGATGGCACGATATTTAAGTACAATTTAAAATTGAGTAGTCTTTCAGTATTCGGGTGTAAGGATCATAGTCAGATATTTTTATTTTGGTGAGACAACTTATAAATACGCCTCGATTTTTAGGGTTAGAAATACTAAGTAGTATGGAATGCATAGGTACCTTAGTATAACCTCCACGTATAATACCTACCTAAATACAAAGTCAACATCAGCGCCTGTAAGAAGCACCAGGTCCTCTGAATAGGCTAGTTTCGGAGGCCAGGTGCAACGCCTGTTACGGCGTATGAACACGTACCTAGGGAGTTAATACACCCTACTTATTATCATCACCATCCTTTATCCCCGAAGGGGTAGACAAAGGTCCACATTACGGCACTTAATACAATGTAACACCCGCTTTTCACTATTTATGTTATGAGTCCCATATTATAGGGGATGCGCCTATTGCCATATACCGGCACAACTCCAGACTCCTGAATTTTTTTAACCAAACAGTAATACTTTTCCCGACCCGGGAATCGAACCCGAGACCCCTTGCCCAGCAGTCAGACTTGTGACCATTCGCCCAACGAGGCAGTTATTAAATCTGTATTTTTTTTTGATACAGGTGCCCGCAGCCAATCTGCTAGGTCAAGAAAACAAAGGTGTCTACGTACTAATGTCAGGTTTAGACCTAGAGCGACTAGTACTAGCTGCCGGTCCTGTTGGCCTGATGCAGGCTGCAGTAGACACCGCCTTTGAGTATGCACATACTAGAAAACAATTCGGAAAGCCTATCGGAGAGTTCCAGTTGTTACAGGTAAGAAAATATTAATGAAACACATTCTTCTAATCTATCTTTGAGAAACTCTAGGACAGAGGTGGGTTAAGTAGTAATAAGTTATGGCTCACGAAAGGACTTAATCCACATTGCCGATATATACTATCTAAATGAAAATGACCAGTATGGTCGGGTTGCTGGGCAGTTCCTTATGTAAAAGAATTACCCTAGTTTTTGTATGCAAAAAAGTATTTATGAAAACACTAGCTTTTACCCGCGGCTTCGCTCGCGTCATAAAAGGATAAAAGTAGCCTATACCAGTACACACAGCGCCATCTATACCAATTCTTTTGTTTTCCCTCGGGAATACCAAAATTTTCCGGGATAAAAAGTACCCTATTATTTAATCCGGACTTCTAATTTTACGTCTGCAAAATTCAAAGCAATCGGTGTAGAAGTTACGGCGTGAAGGCGGAACAAACAAACAAACAAACTCACTTTCCCATTTATAATAATATAAGGATTTGGCCTATTTTAATTTCAGGGTAAAATGGCAGACATGTACACAACGCTGAGCGCGTGTCGTAGCTATCTGTACAGTGTCGCCAAGGCTTGTGATGAAGGACACGTCAACAGTAAGGACTGCGCCGGAGTCATTCTGTACTGCGCTGAGAAAGCTACTAAAGTTGCTTTGGATGCTATACAGATACTTGGTAAGTTGTTTCGATCTTTATTTTATAACAAAATATTTTTTTATAGAATTGTTGCCTTATAGTTATATGAAATTGGGCACAATTTTCCACTGTGCAGACACTTTGCACTAGGACTTTTGCAGTCATATTGGTCGACTATTGATCAGTGAAGCACCTAAATTCATCTCTAATGCCAATGACTATAGCCCAATTTACAAATTATTTAGTACATTCTGACGATGAAAGTTCTTAAGGTGACCTTTATCTTCGGATAACAATTATAAGGTATTCACTAAGTCCGAGGCAATTATGGTAACACATCAATCTTGTACGAGATGTTAAAATATATAAGTTCATCCCTATTACAAATAATAGTCGACATATAGCATATAAACAGCACATTTATATGTATAATAAATATTGAATGTAATTTAAAACTCGGTACACACTAAAACATATAATAGATATTTATTTCTGTTGCCACACTCAGCCTTGAATATTTCATTACAATTCTATGCTTCCTAGTACTTAGTATATCATTATTTGTTTGCAGGTGGCAATGGATACATCAATGACTACCCAACAGGCAGGATACTGCGAGATGCTAAGCTTTATGAAATTGGTGCTGGAACCTCAGAAGTAAGAAGAATGTTGATTGGGCGGGCACTCAACAGTGAATACAAATAAAAATAATATAGTCACTATGTGATACACTTTGTAATTATTTATTAAAGTTTTTAACAAAACTTACTATTGCTGTTATTGCTAAGTACCTATGTAAACTAGACTATTTTTGTTAGCTGCTCACTTTAAAAATGCACGATTTTTTTCTTAAAACTAATCATATTCTAAGGTGACTAAAAATAAAATAAAATGACTAAATATTGGCAGGTAAGAAATGCTAATAGAGGTCAACAATCTGTTTGCATATTTGTTGTGTGATTGTATTCAAAATAATCTGGCATTGAAGCCAAATTACCCATACATAAATAATACATTGACATTTTATTCCCACCAAAAGCTTACTGAGAAACTAATGGATAGTGACTCAACAAAATGCCACCATTTTGGAGGAATATAGAGCATCTGACCAGGTTTTAGTCTGCAGTAGTATGGTTTGCTACTTTTGTATTTAGGATATTTATCTAGGTCTGGCTGCCGTGGATCCACTTGTGCTGTATTATTTAGCAGCTCATGTTCATGTGGGTAGAGGTACTCTGAATCAGCAGGTGCAAATAAGAACAACTGCTTTTCCCCTACAACTTGTGTAAGTAGGTTTTTCTTTGGATCATGATGAAGTGGGGAAACTGTTCCTTTCGGCCCATACCACGCCATAACATCAACAGGCTCATTACTATCAGAGAAACAGCAATACTCAGGCTCAGTTATATCATTTTTCAGTTCAGGAATTTGGTCAAATAATTGGTACTGGGCTAGGTAACCAGTGGGCCCTTCAGTCTGGTAAATATATTGTTTAACAAACTCGTCTATTGTAATCAGTCTTTGTGTCCAATCCTTGTCTGTATATTTGCTTCCAATTTCTATAGACACTGTTCTAGGACCAGCTAGCTTAATAAAATAATTCTGATCTTTCCACTTTTCTAATGCTGGCCAGTGATTTATACAGTTGTCTAAAATAACAGGTTTTTCCGCTAAAATGTAATTTTTGTAAAAATGCTCCATACTTGGACAGTCAATAGTCTCTATTTGAATAGCATTGAATTTATCAGCTTCTATTGATGTATCACTAGTTGCATTATTTTTTTCTTTGCTTGTTGTGTCCTTCAAAATGATATTCTTTTGAATATTAACAGTATTTAGAATAGTTGCACAGTTTTGTAAAAGTCGAGGTTGTTTGTCTAAAGGACAACCAAACAGGATACCAAAGTCTATTATTTTATATGCCTGCTTTATCATTGTGTCTGTATCTTCATCGGAAAATCTTACGTGAGCTAATAATTTTAAATATGTGGCAATAGTTATGGCTTTTCTGATAAACAATTTCACTTCTTTCCAATTGCCAATGTTGATTTTTTCGTACATGTAATCTAGTATAGCTTGAATTCTTATAGTAGAAGACGGATCTGTTGACTCAGTGCTGTTGATATACCTGTGCAATAATGATTTAGTTGCTGGATCTAAGTCTTCAATTTCTGGTAATGCTGTAGCCACATTAGTCTTGTATTCTTCTAGTTTATAACAAATTTCACGTAACGCTAACATCTTCACAGTTTAAATTGCGTTTAAGTACATAAATCCGCTTTTCGTTCAATGTTTACAACTTTCTAACCTACAAATCACTCAATGAAATGACATCATTCTTTCTGTCATTCATTTATCTAATGTAGTTTCATTTCACGCAACTACGGTTTCAAAGGATGTGAATGCCGCCGTTCACTGAACGCGAAAAAATGAGTCAAGGTTTTTTGAAAGTTCTTTATTGCGTGTAAAGAAGCGACTTGATATTGTCTTTGGTTAGAAATTAATTTTTCATGCGTTGTAATAAAACAACATGTTCTTTTTGTGAAGTAATACTACGATTTGAAGTATTTTATGCTGTTGTTTTAACTTGTATAACAGCAAAACCATTACCATAAAGCAGTCAATCAATAAGATTTCTCTGACCTTGACCTTTCACGAAAAGTAAAAACTTATTGTCTATGCCAAATCATATGACTTTTGCACGTGATCTGACATATTATTTACATTTTGTAACAAAGTGTTTTTAAAAGTTTTTTATAACAATTATTTTTCGAATATAGATTTCATAAAATATGTTACAAAGTACCGCCATGAAAATATCATGAAATGTTCCGTGTGACGCAATGGCCTTGTTCGACAAATTGTTTTCTCTCAAGAGAAAACTTGATGATCGCGAACCAAGAAACCGCGACAGGTACGTCATGATGAAACGCTTTTCATTCATTTTATTCTATTTTTGTGAGAAGTATGGTATGCGGTGTGGTGAGGTTGACGCACGAACTGTTCACCCGTGCCGGGAGACAAGTCTTCACGAGGGCACAATGTGGACCTTCGCGTAGAAGTGGTGACGCACTCCAGTCTCGGTCTGACAGTGCAGTGCGACGAGCATGTGATGAGTGCGCGGGGCGCGGGCTGCGGGCTGCGGGCGTAGGCGAGCTGTGAGCGCGCGATCACGTCACTCGCGAGAGGGGCGGGTCGCGCAGCGCGCTCTATGTTTACTTATTTACATGATATGTAAGCTAGTACACCAGCACATTCCACACCAAACGGACGCTCGTCCGCCGATACTCGCCTATCGATGTGCATTTAGTGTTAATCATTAACAGTGGTTGCATTTCTTGATCAGTGAGTGCATATGACACAGTTTTGTCTTTGCAAACTTTGCAACTTTGCTAATCTGGTGAGCAGCTGTAGGGACAGCTGATGTGACTATGAAATAAAATGAAATTTAGGTAACAACTGATTACTTTGTGCTTTCATTAGATATTAGACAAGACCATTGGTAGGATCTAGAATGTAATCATGGGAGCAGGCAATCCAGTCTGTCTGTCTATTAAAGTTTATATTTTATTTAGTTTGAAGCAGTGTAGACTTGTTATAGTCAAGTAATCAAAATCACATTTAAGTGGAGCATACTTTGAATGATAATGGACATGATGAGTTTGTTGATTTACTGTCTGGAGGTGCTCTGACAACTGTTCATCAAAACATTGTCAGTAGATACATATTATTTATGTTTATACTCAAAGTGATAAGCACTCTACAATATTGTAATGCTTGCAACATAAAAGAAGAGAAAGTTGGCTCATTGTTGACTTTGTGCTGATACATTCTGCACACTCATGCCCAGCCTGCTTAGAATAACATTACCCAACAAGATATAAATCCATCCATTAATTCGATCAAAAATATCTATTTATTTACATTTTTAAAAATTTTATTTATACATATTAATTTATGTACTTACATGTGGTCTGTCCAGTCCATAAATCCGGATTCTAATTTGACAAACATATCATATCATCATTTATCATATTTATTGATTAGGCCTGTCTTATCTCAAGTACTTGTCACTTTATCTAAACAAACTTGTTTTACAATCATTTTGTCTGATTAGTTCAAAGTGAGCATAATGAAATGACAATGTTCTAGTTACTTATTTGAATTGTTTTTGCTGGAAAATATTTTTTTACAATGTAAGTTTTCTCTGTAAATAATCAGTATACACAAAGGGTGTCCAATTAAAATATTTGCTTTGACTTTATCATGAATTTCTTGGTAATGAAAACAGTGGAAAATATAATCGGGAATTTCTGCGAACAATTAGTGAAATGAAACAGACTGTATCAGGCATGATTTATTAATAAGATCATTATACTTTTATGTTGTTTGTATGAGAACATACGTAGATTTGATATCTGGTGATATTTTTAGCTTTGGTAGGTGTGTCCGTTTGTCTGCTCATGTGATGCCCTCACATGCCAGTTTTTACGAACTATTACTTGACAATTAAACTTTTGTTGCTAATGCCAAATATTTCTGCCAATTGAATTGTTTTATGTACATTTATTAATTTAAAATTGATAACAGCAGTAAAGTGCTGTGTTCAAAATAAATTATTTTTAGTTTTATCCAATTCATTTTCTTTAATTCAAATTCATGCATTAAATTAAATAGTGAAAGTTAAAAATCATTATTAATTATTTAACTACTTAATTGAATTTTAAGTATCCAAAGATGTCTTCTTACCTACTTTTTTTGTTACCAGGTCCTGTCAGATAAATCCGGAGCAAGTGCGGTTGCTTCTGTTTAAAGAGTGTGATTGGAGGGGCAGGAAGCTCTTGTTTGACTCTGCTGCTATACAGAAGGTCCCAGCCAATAAAAATGATAAGCCAAATGTCAGACAGTCTGAAGAAGTGCCATGCATACTGGAGGTGTCAGAAGGATTCACATACCTGGTAAATATTCATATTCATAATTATAATTATTTAAGTTTATTGGTATTCCGGTTTTCAGTTTGACTTCTAGACTTTCTATATTTTTCAGTTTTTGTTAACTTTATTTTGTATAAATCTACAAACTTTTCGAACACTCGAACATTAACTTAAAGATATGAATTCTTATTATTTAACAACACCTTTTATACTATAAATAAGTACAAATTCAGTAGAAGCCTATAAATAACGAAATCCTCATTTCCGTGAAAATATAAATATTCTTATCACAAGTCAAGGCGCGTATTCACATCGAATTTAAATTATATACAGATTTAGACTTTCCTGTTATCTTAATAGATCATTATTTTGTACTTCCTTTATATCAACTTCCAAACAAATTTACCCATATAAATGCTACGTAATTTTCTCAGACGTTGAGGGAAATACGGACAGGAAAAAACGTGATGAAAATTTAAAAGAAGATACAAAGTTTACTTTTTGATAAAATTTATAGCTTGACGTAGGTAGTGCATGAATGACTGGATAAATAATAATATAGCTGACATAGTAATATATGGAGATAAGGTACTTATGCACTGGTACTTATGCACTATGTTGTGTATCGTTCTCCGTAAATACTAATCTTTTGTTTAAGAACACAGCGAAGAAGCAATTACGTTTATGGACTATGAGTACCCACATAACTATCGATCGATTTGTCTGCTTCTATTAATAGGACAAAAACGGAAGTTCATTATGAAATTAAACAATCTACTCGTCCTATGATGAATACGCAATATCATTTCAAAGATTGAAATAATTTTCAAAGATTATGAAATAAATCAACTACAGTTATTTGGTTATTTGTGTGTCTTGCTTTCTAAAAACTACGATGAACGTGAAACGTAGATAATTTAATTTAATCATGTGATAAAAAGTTCAATAACAATATTTTGTTTTGTTTTTATCTAGTTAATCTGTCTCACGTTAATATAAATTATGATTTTACAGCAGTTTTATATTTCGGACATTCTCTAATACACGTATGTAGGCCGTTTACCTTAGCGTGTGATAATAATAATACGGCCACGAACACTCGAAGCACGTGACTAGCCAGCTGCTTACAATCATACCGGCAACACGATGACGCGTCATCGGAACCGTGCAATACTAATCAAAGAATAACAGTATCAACATAAATTTACAAAATCTACGTCATTAATTTTTTTTTTGCGTTGGTCTAAATATAGATCCTTGGGGAACCCATGGTAATCCGTTTTGTGTTGTAGTATGATATATTTGTTCGATAAGATAAGTCGCAGATAACATGTCAATGGACTTAATACTGTTTTAGTGACGTCACCAACAGGATTATCTCAAGTTGTTGTGTTACTATGGGTAGAAAGCAAAATCGTACAGCTGATAAACTAAATAAAACGCATTAGCAAAATCCTATTACTTTAGATTTTCCTGACTACAGACGTTGGTTTGTCATTTAGATACGTTTTCGTTGCTAGTCTAGGCATTTGTTTTAACAACTCAACAATTTACTCAAATGGTATATCCTTGAAACTCAGCATCTAGTGCTGGCCTAGTTAAGAATCCCTCTTATTTATAAAACTTGTCATGTCAGAGATGGTCTATAAATCTTGTGTAGCATTATCATGTTCTTGGCAATGTGGAGCAGTTACTCCTAAATGAAGTGGGTTTGGAATTAGTATGATGGACACGTAACGAATATCATACTTTCTATAGATATAGTGCACAGGAATAGTATGAATTTTGGAGATTTGAATTTTGCTTTTACTTAAAAAATCTGTTATCAGTTCTTTTTTCGCACAATAACTTTCATCGATATTGATGACGTTTTGCATCGAACGATGAGTGTAAACGATCAGCGAACTTCTCTCTTCGTGATAAATGTTTAAAAATAACGCAACAATCGACATACGGAGCGGTCACATGACCGACAATTTGCTCTAACATTATCACTGGAGCATTCTATATTTAGACCACTTAAGATGTTAGCCTTTTCGATTATAAAGCGTGCCGTAAGTGGGACTTATGTGCGCGGACGGACCGTAATTTTAGCTGGATTCTAATTAATGGTCATCACATGTCCCATTATAGTTGTGTCAATTGTCTCTCCCATCTATATTTACTTTGGATATCCACGTCACGTGATATTTCATTGCCTATTACACTTCAAGCCGTTGTTAGTTATAACCGGTCTAACTTGATAGTTATTTATAGAAGTTATTATCTTTAATATGGAATCTAAATTGTTATGTTCCGTGCAGTAACGTTGTGGAAGGGTTGCCAAAATTAGTTGCTTTATGACGGTTATTTTGAATGATACGATTGACGGTTTTGTTTTAACGCCTTTGTTGTAATCGAATGGTGGTTTGCAAATGAATAACAATAACAAGTTTATTTGCGATACATACGGTGTAAAAATAAACGATGTTTAATGGCTTTGTTTTCTCACCTTTATCATAATTGTCCGCTCTAAATGTATCATGCCCTTTACCGAACAAGGATTTGTCACGTATCACATAAGGCACGGTTCGGTGTGAATTTAAGAAATCAACAAAAGCTTACCTAAAATCTAAGTAAAAATATTGGGTATTTTTGGAAAATATTTCTTTAAAAAATATTTATCACATTTCTGTGTTACGTTAGCGTGGGCGTAACTGTGAATAAAGATATTATTTTTGGCTTCCATTGACGTATTTGGGTGTACGACGTTTGTAGCCACCTGTCATGTAAATCATCGTCTTGATGAATGAGTGGGCTTTGTTCCGAACTATCACGGAAGGTCAAACGATACATGATGCCCTTTTCCGTCATTGCTACTGCAGATTTAGAGATTGGAGATATTTCACAGATTTGATTTTCAACAATTGAGAATGAAGCTCTGTTACTAAATTGAATCAAAACCACACCCTATTACATGGTACTCATAACATAAAATAGTGGAAAGTGAGTTTAATATTTTAAAGTGGCATTAAGTGCCGTAATGTGCACCTCTGCCTACCCCTTCGGGTATAAAAGGCGTGAAGTTATGTTATGAATCAAAATATTCCTACTTTTTAAAGTCAAAACAAGAATACGAAATGCCTATTCATTTTAAACTGCAGTTTTACTTCAGAATACCGTCAGTCTTATGTGTGATAAACGTTCGCGATGAAATTGAACAAAAATTAGAATAGATGAACAAGATACTCCATGGTTATCCTATGACCATTATTTCTTTCTTTGTCCAGTACAAGGGACCGGCGGCGGACGCGAACGTTCTCGGTGAGATGATATTCGGTGCAGTCGCCATGAACTACAAGAGCGTATCATTGAAAATCCACATCATGGATGAGCCAAGGAGGTAAGGTCGAATTCATTATCGTCATAATGCAACTTTTATTGTGTTTGTTAAAACTGGCTGCATAGGATTTACCAGTTCATTGTTTTAATTTGTATTCTTTTTTTGAAATGCTCTATAAAACGCGCTTTACTTATTTGCTTTGCTAACAAGGTGTTGTAAACTTTAATGACTTTTATTTAATTTAACAAATGTATCTTAATCCTTAAATCATCATTCTTTGTTCAATTTTGTTTTCTTAAATCTTGGCTTTATTACTTTTCCTTATCTAAGTACGTAGCTACTTAAACATCTTCGTGACCAATCGATCATGGAGCCTTGGTATCAAAATATTTAGATAATGTGTGTACTTTATAATGCAGTTATCTAATCATAAGAATTGCGCTCAATTTGAATCTCTTAAGTGATTCGTTTTAATCTAGATCATTCTCGTTATCATGCTATGCCATAAAAAATAAACGATGTTTTTCTACTGTTTATCTACCCCCCAACGACTAACTTGACCGTGAATTTGTAACACCATATAAGGTTCAATGTCATTCGACAAATCTATTGTTAAACGCTTTATTCAAATTGAAACGTTAATGTGTTTGCTATTATTACTTTTAACCTTATTGACATTTTAAATAATTAACCAACTACTTTTTCCAACTAATTGGTGTTACTGATCTTCTATAAATTGCGTAGGTTGATGTGCTCAAAAGTGTTCTGCGTACCGACTCGAAGGATCAGCCGAGTAGGGAATCCGGAGAGGAGAGAAGCAAGCGGTTGTGAGAATGGAGATCGATCAAAACCGCTCAGTGTTCCGCTTGTGAGGGAAGAGGGAGTTTCGCTCAGTTTTTCGCTTGATAGAGGTGATTCGGGTAAGTTTGAAGACATCATTTTTCTTTTGAATTTGAAAGATAGTTATCTCATACATACGTATCGTAGGTATGAGGTTTATAAAACTGGTTCTGTTGAATTTCTGTCACAAACCCAAATTATCCGGTATATATGAGATTGAACGATATGAATAATATTACTTCAGTCTCTATCTAAATTCTCTTCACAAACTTCAGTATAAAATTATCAAAAACTGTTTTGTTTTTACACGAGTGTTCTAAGTCAGAACGTGCCGTCTAAGTTTTATTGAACCGAACTCCTGGTAGTGACCCTAATATCTTATCAATATTTCCGTCCAATTTATTGCTCAATTTTCCTGTTTAATGAAATTGTATTCGTTACATAAAATGTAAGACACGTTTGGTACTATATTCTGTTATCAAGTAACTTTATGTCTTCTTTACTTTGCACTTAATAGATATTTCGTCTAGCTTTTGTCCCATTTTATCCTGCCTGACGAGACGATTGGAGAAAACAGTAAAGGTTTAGCTTTCTTAGACTGCTTCTCTGTCAAATGTGTAGTCCCTTAGAGCGCCTTCACACTAGCGTTTGTCCAGGTATTCGATAATCGTATGCGCCGCGCAGACGCTTCGACTACGCGGTACAGGCGTCACTTTATCGTGTCGTCAGTGCAAGGGTATATGAATACGCGCCTCAGTGCCGTGGGGGTATTCCACTTTGCGCACCTAAATGAAGCGCACCCAGACGAAGCGCACCTAAAGTATTCCACTTTGCGCACCTGTAGGTGCGCTTAAAATAAAAATTGTGTCACATTATTATAATGAAACTGACAGATGTTAGATATTTAAGTTAGTCTTTTAAATAATAAAAATGTTCTTATATCGATATTCTTATTTCTTAGTCTCCGCACTATGCGAGTGATATTCGTAGGTGCGCTTCGTGGAATAGAAAAACTATTTATTTAAAATTTTTATTTTAAGCGCACCTACAGGTGCGCAAAGTGGAATACTTTAGGTGCGCTTCGTCTGGGTGCGCTTCATTTAGGTGCGCAAAGTGGAATACCCCGTGCCGTGTTACTACGTTAATCGAACAGCGCTACGCCGGACAAACGCTAGTGTAAAGACGCTCTTTGTCGATTCTTATGACAGTCGTAGGACAAATGTGGTCTTTTCTACATTAATCAGACGTCTTACTTACTATTAGTATAAGTAATGTAGATAAATGCCTACATTTGTTCACAAATGCAGTGTATTTCAGGTTACTACGGAGACCACTCACCGTATAGCAGCGTGGGGTCCACGCACGATTACTTCTCAATGTGCGATATTTGGGATAGCAACAACCAGGACGATTTCGCTTCTTTTTATTGTAAGTACTATTATTATCTTTTTTATGAGTCCGATGTCATACTGAACTGTTAGGTGTTTTCGAGTTTTTCCTGGAAGACCGAGTTTGCTTAGGTACTGTGTGGAGATTTCCAGTTATTTGATTCATGAGATCGCAATGTTATTTTGTCATTTATTTCAACATATCGTTTTATACCTAAATAAAAGTTGTACAAGAACCCAATAGACATTGCAAGTAAAGTAAATTCAAACAGAGTCCAACGAAGTATTTGTCTAGGGTTCATTGTATTCAAAGGGACGTCCTTTTCAAACATTGCTATTTATTTAAAACTTTCCCATTGTTTTCCTTACCCACTCGTGACTGATAAAATCGTATAAATACACAATACTACTTCAATTGCCAGGGGTTTACCACGTGTACTTTGTTCTTAGTCCACCTTAAGAACTAGTCGTTCTTTTTTTCCATACATATTTCGAGGGCGTTTTTCACCACTGTTTTGCATTGTTATTCCACAATTAAACAAGGTATCGTTTTGTCTCATCATTCGCTTTTGTGGTACGGGTTTAGAATTGTAAAATAATGAACCAATAGAAAATATAAGAAAACTAAGTCTTGCTAATTTTAGCGCAACTTTAAATGTAAAGTCTCCAATACGATAGCCGTAACGACAAAGTTTGATTACTAATGAGTTTACAAACATTATTTGTAGTGTGTAATATTATTCGTAATTAATTGAAGCTGTAGTTTTTTCATAACACCCAATCTTCGAAAGAGCAATAAGTGTGCGAGTATGCGTGTGTTAACATATAACATATCGAGGACTCTGTATATCTTCATACTGCTCTTTAACGGGGAAATGGGTATAAAGTGTGGTAACACCTTATACCCATTTGCACCTTTATTGGCTGAAACGGCATGCATATTTGCCATGGCTCACAAGCAAGTTCGAGTTGTGGACTAGACCGCATATAAGTTTTGTCATCGTCATCACTAACAGTCGACTACTGGACTAGGAGTCTGCTCTAAATAAGAGGGTTTTCCCTCATTTAAAAGATTCAGGTAATAAACCTGAATCTTTAAATTCTGAAAATTAATAAATTTGAACCAGTTCGATCCTGAGATAAGCGCGTTCAATTACCTAAATCAACGTTTCATCTTTACGATAGTATTATGTAGATGTTTTATCGTGTTTCTGATAGGTCTGTGTTCATCTATGAATTGAAACGGGCTGAAAAATACTAGTGTCTAATAGTATTATTTTTTTAGTACCAGCTGGCAGAAGATTAAGTACATCAAGCAACGGCAGTTGGCAACGGAGAACTTTCCAAAACATGGCGACGAGGTTCGATGTCGGACATCAGAGTACCAACCTGCTTGGAGTTCCAACTGCAACTAGTAACACTGCCAGTTCGGATTCGCAGGTTAGTGTTCGGTTTTCAAATATTTATATTTTTGTTTTTTTTTATCTGTTCTTTATATTTTGACAGCTGCGTCAAAGCCAACAATGCCATGTATTTTATTCATTTACGTCTAGTTTCTATAACCTATCTATCTGTAGATTTGCTTACTAGAAATAGAATTTTGACACATTTTGTATGGAGCTCATGTCAAAATTCTATCTCTAGTAAGCAAATCTACAGATAGATAGGTTATAGAAACTGGACGTTAAGGAAGCTCATCAGGACCCTAGCGTGGAAGACACAAATTATGCAGTACTATTAAAAATACGGCGCGATGTAAATTACTTTTTGCACTTAACTTTTTAAAGAACGTAAATTATACATCGTGTTTATAATGTAACTAAAATTTTATAATTCTCGGAAGTGTGTAGCCTAAAGCAAATAAAACCAGTTTATTCTTCTTAGCAATATAAGCCCTCTTAATCTTTTCTACTTAACGAGTTACTCTCACGCGATGACCTAAGCACAATTATTGTGTTGTATATTTGTACAGCTATTATAGCCTCGTTGTTTGTGCTTGAGTACTTGGTCTCTTTGGTTTTTTCGAGTTGACTGTTTATTACCATTCTGAGTATTATAACAAAGTAGCAACAGAGCTTACGATGTGTGATGGTACGTGGTCACCGTGGCTCAAGTATACTGGTAGACGTCATTCGTCAGAAGTATTATAAGTGCGCTACAGACCATAGAAAGTAATTGCTTAGTTTTGCTATCGTTCTTGGGGAGCAGGACTTTCAGAAAATGTTGGCGCAATCATAAAGCGGATTGGACAACATTGTTTTTCTTTGTTTCAATGTAGGTACGTTTGTAAGGTTTTTCCAAGTTGCGATCGTCTAAACTATAGGGAAAATGATTTGATCACTCGTATTTTCTGTCTGATTATTTTTTTTGTCGATCTTAATGCAACAGTGGCACACGTTACGAGTAAATCTCGTTTGTATGAAATGTCATCTGCATTCCGCATTCCAAAAACAAAAAGAAATCAGCAATCATTTTCTCAACTTCATTTGTTTCCTGCACGTGTTTTGTGATCTTCGGAAAGTTCTAGAAACATCAGTAACACTTGAAATACCATATATCATGTCTACTTCACGTCACGGTAAATATTGAAACGATGCTACAATATAACTCTGTCTGTCAGTCAGTGATGACGTCACAGTTATCGTGAGAACTCGCTTCCTCTCAGATATAATGTAGATAGTACAAGATAGACACTTGTATACATGATACATTGCCTGATAATATCTATTATTGTACTTTTACAAGTGGATTGGATTTAGGGAAAATACCTACGGAGTTTATGTACCTACTATTGTTTTTCTTTCTCGAATGTATAAGTCTACGTAATTTGTTTTTGTCTGAATATGTTAAAACGCAATTCCTCTTTAAGATACAACTATTTTGAAAACGCTATGTTAACCATCTCTCCCGTTATTTTTATGAATACTAGCTGTCTCATTGTTATTAGGCGCTATAAGATTATGGGTTCCGGTCACAGCTCAAAACTAATCGAGCGACCTTGTATAATAAATGAATTATTTTGGTGTATAACTATGAGATATCCTTAGCGATGGCCATGATGGAGGTGGTGTCGACAGTGTCCAAGGTTGTGAGGGATCGATTCACGTGTTCCACCAGTGTTTGGGAGGCCTACATATATCCATTACACTGCCGTACTGCTTTACAAATTGATATTAACCATATCTTGGCAACATTCAGTCAGATTTGAATTCTGTCTTGCACCCCAATTTGCATAATCACGTGTCAGTCAATTGCCTCTTGTAAGATTGTATGCGGATATCTGCCAAAGTCTTAATGATAACATTAGAATTTCAAGTTTAAGATCAAAAGAAAAAGTTTATTTAAAAAAGAATTAACTAAAATTTATAAAAATAAAAACCGAGGCATTAAAAAAAATAAGATAAAAATAAATTCTATGACCCAGACTTAGTTATGATATGGATATGGTTAGACTAGGAACGCTTTCTATCGTAACAACTCATGCACTGTAACAAAGCGATAAATAAAATGTTAACAGAACTTTCCAGAAAGCATCTAAGCGTCATATCCGCGAGGAACACTCAACAATTATATTAAGAAACAATCACGCAAACAAAACCCTATAAACAGTTTCGAAGTAGGATAGTGTCACCAAGGGCCACTCCATTGGTGATTGTTGAATTGTTTACAAACAGCATTATCGCATTATCTTGTAACCGCGTGATGGTCGTCACATGATTGTCCAAGCTATCGTTCAGTCATGTGAGCCGTTATCAGGACAATGACAGGCCGAAGGTACTTAGTTAATAGCTGCATTTGTTATGTTTGATTGTAGCGGTGATGCAATTAGTGGAATGTTTTATTGTAGGAATATTTCAAGTGGCATGTGACTACCGCAAGATATAGTTTGTTGGGTGAGGCTTTGAGTCGGCTATGATAGATGATTGTCTGGTTTTTTGATCGATTGGCCATAAGTGCGGGGTCAGTGCTTCTTTTTATTTGAAAATAAAATTACATATGTCTAAATTGAAGACAAAATTTGGTGCATTTTGGATTCACATAGGCAGGCAAATCGTCTAATACGTGCCTCGTATAAGAAAGCTGAAAATACGAAAGCTTTGGCAGTGAATATAACAAATGCGTGCGACTTTTTCTTTATAGAGGTAGGTACTCGTGTGACACAAGGTTTCGTAAAAAACTTAGTAAAGTTACAAAATAATGTTTCTTAAAATAAAAATATATGGCTGAAGCTATTGTATGGCCGTGATTTGAACTCGAATAGTTATTTGTTTATTTTTTGATCTCATAAACAGCTATAATAATGAAATACTTGAGGAAAACGATAAAAATGTACCTACAATTTGTTTAATTTGATAATTAGAATGATGTCCACTGCTTTTGTCGGTCAAAAACTACGTAAGCATTTGATAACAAAATTTACTAACAAGTTTTAATCTGTATGCCTCTACGAGACCTTTATCCATATGATATTTACACAGACTATACGTTTTTCATTCATTTTATTTGACCACAATATTCAGAACTTATCAATAAGTTAACACGTTAACCGCCGCGTAGGTCACCGGAGACCTACGTTAGCGGAGGATTTAGTTTTCTGTCGGCAGTCAAAGGCTTAAATGCCTTCCATCTTAAAAAAAATAAGACAGTTTTAGCTAGACGATTGACCATAACCATCTCATCATCTGCAAAGAAGTACATAATGTATGGAACAGAATCGTTGCTATTATTCTCTTCCTACACACATGGGGACAAAGCCGCATGTCACAAGATATAGTCTTGTCAAACGAGACAGGAATATAAATTTTCTTTTTTTTATTGTACCACACTTGCCGACGTCCATCACAACGACAGCGTTTTGTTTTTATACAACTTCCGTCACATTAAACTACGTAACAATGAAATGGTGTTCAATGAAAGCCGTGAATGTGAATAGATCACTATTAATCTCTATGAGTCACCAATCACGCGAAGGTGCTTATGTAATAATGTATTGGTATGTTTTTTCTAATGAACAGGTATTAAAGAACTTGTAAGATTGCTTGCATGGTTCAGTAGTTGCCTATACTCTGCGTTCGGATTTCTGGTTCTGGCTAAGTGATGTTGAGTCATTCTCTCCTTAATATCATGAGAAATTGGGCTTTCTGACCATTGGAATAAACTTTTTACTTTCATCGGTTCATTTCTAGATTACTTGACTCTTCTAATAACGTTGTGAAAATACCTCTTGGAATACTGTGTGTAGTTTTGCTCTCCTGAAAAAGTTGTGTTGTGATATGGGGAGACTGAAGGAAGTTCAACACTTCTTTTAATAATTTGTAGAGAAACACAAAACTGGCATTTACATTGCATTGCTAATGATTAAAAAATATATTACAGAGCCAAAAATATCCGAATTCAGATTTAGCGATACGAGTGTTTATTGTAGGTGTATTAAAATTAATTTGATTCAAGACCGGAATTAAGTGAAACCGGTCGCGACTTAAGAACACAAATATCGCGTTTAGGTCACCGACTTGAGTCACGTGATTGCAGTACAAAGCCATTGCACCCACCATTTTCACCTCGATAAAGGTCAATTGTTTTTTAAAAGGACTAAGCAAAAAGGTTGTAAGGAAATTTCCATGTTTGGAAGAAAGAGGATATGCAAGATTAGGGATGTGATCCGTTGCCTCTAATAACAATAGTAGCTAGAGGAATGAAAGCACGAATCGCTCACATAGCTATGCGTATGTAATGTGTCAAACATTAAATCACTAACTGCCGATTTCAAAAACCAATTTTATGCCAAAATCTCTAGATGGATCTTGATTTTTGAGAGAAACTCCGTACAATTAATGTCAAAAATTGATCCATATCCACAGATTTTGAATTAAGATAGAATATTGAAATTGACAGTAAGAAATTAAAATATACAACATTCGATGCAGATGACATAATATTCGGTTACTAGAATATCGGCTGTATGTATCGAATATGGGAATTCCCTGTGAAGAGGTTTCGTTAGACGAAATAAAAATATTTTTGGTTATTCTGTTTAAAAAGTTTGCCGCGTATAAGAGTGAAGTCTGTCTGTAGGTTCAAGGGATATAAGACCTTTTTAACTTTCTCTTTAATCATGTTCTTGCTAATTAATAATGCTTGACAAGTTATACTTAGCATAGTTTTAACAAAAACACTTGGTATCAGGTACTTTGTTCCACTACTCTTGGTATCACTTAATCATTGAAATTTATTTAAACTTGGTATCAACTTGAACTTGAAAAAATAACTAACAAACACAAAATATTCATTAGAGCTCTAAAATATTTGTTCTAGAGATATGAAGGTGATTTCGAATGCAGTTGTATTTGCAATTTTGTGATTGTAAACACCTAGCCGTCAGCATCTTATGATTTGTTTGTGAAATCCTATTGTTTGTCGTTTTAACATTAATTTGCATAAGTCTTGTGACACATATCTATGCATAGGTATATCTTGATTATTATGTATTGTTCAATAACTTTTATAGAAATTGTTTTCAAAATGAACATTTTAAAAAATATTGGGACTCAAACGTACGTAGAATAGAGCAGACATGGATGCGGAAACGAATAATTTCATTCCGACTTGACAGACTTTGTATAATGTTTAATTCCGTATAATTTCTTCCATCGATGGCTTCATGACGTGACATACGTAATTTTTTTTAAGGGGGAAAATCATGGAATGACTTCTCCCGCCTGGGTGAGGCGGGAGTAAGTGTCAGACTCTTACTGACTAAAAACCACCCCGTTCCTACTCCTGCACGTCGAGCCATAGCCCCGGTAACCCGTTAGGTTCTCAGCGACTCCGTATCGGCATGTGGCATACGTAATAAGCCTTTCTTGGACTTAACGAATAAATGTTTGAAAAACAATTAATACTTGGTCCACATCTTTTTACCTATGATTGTTTAGCAGCACAAACCTAATTTACCTATTTAATGACGCATGGACACTTGTAGAGTTATTGCTTAAAAACAATCAAATTCGAATTAAAACCTCATTTGAGGATATCCAAATAAAAAACACTTCGTACCTACGTAAAGGTAAACCTAATACACGCGGTATATTTTCGACCAGTATGTTTCATATATGAATTAGAACTAGGATTACCAAAAACGGACTTAAAGACTTATAGCATTAGATCCTAAATTAAATCAATCATGGAACGGGGGCGATTCATTTGCCTACCAGATAAGTCTCCTTAGTCCCCGTATTTGTAGAACAATTAGAACGGCTTAACAATCGAGCCATTAATTGTTTGAACGGAAGCGTTTACAGTGCATCACGTGCTTCTTACGTTTACATACGTACTTACGGAATTAATATTCAAATACTGACTATGTTTGACTTTCCTTTTTCTTTTTAATTCTGTTTGCTGTCGACATTTGTGTTTAGATTTATTGTCGTTTAATGATATTGTATAATTACTAAGTTTGTTTTCGAAGGTGTTACCTACTTGGGGTTTTTACCCGCATCTGCTGACGATTTGACGACAATCTATAACTATTCTTAGTTCATCAAAAGAGCATGTCTTAATATTTCAAATATGGCTATTAGTGTCAAAGATTAAGAGCATTCAAACAAACTCGAGAGCTTTATCTTTATCTCACTCATCAATGTAGATTTAAATATAACCATGTTGATGTTAACGTGTTAACCATACTACTACCGCGGAGAACTTAACGGGTTACCGGAGCTCCGGCTCGAAGTGCATGAGTAGAAACGGGGTGGTTTTAGTCAGTAAGAGACTTTCCCTCTTAAAAAAAATACATACTACTAAACTAACGGTGAGATCCTTTACAAACTTTTAACTGTTCAAAACACGGAAGGCTTCAATTAGTTCCTTAACCCTCAAATTTCCATAATCTTTGTTACTTTAATGTTGTTTTCGACGGCTGTGCGTAATCTCGATGCCTTGACCTAATTCTAGAATCCATAAAACAAAGATAATCTACGGTTGTACGGTTGACTTAAGCCTTTTGTTATGCAGAGGTTTAATGCGGATTAGTTCTTTCAACATTATACGTCATTGCGTCGTACTAGTTACGCTTACGTTGGTTGGCATAGGTAAATTGAAACTGGCTGAAAGTCGAATTTGTTGTTTTGAATTTGGAACGTTGTAGCCTCTTTTGTTTTTTTTTATTGTATTGGTTTCTTTCTCTTTGATTTGTTTGTTTATGGTCTGTTTTGTTAAACTCTGGATTCTTTTTGCTTAACTACATTGGCTTACCGATATTTTCTTTGTCAACAGATCTACAGCAACAGCACGACGAGTGGTACATGTGATAGCATAGCAAGCACAGGATCAGCGATGCTGCACAGGAAGAACAAGCTCGGACTAGCGCTATTAATCAGTGTCAACGACTCCACGCAAATGTAAGTGTATTTATTTATTTTATTATTTATCTCTGTACACACACAGCAAACAGGATAACTTATTTACAGAATTAAGATATATACCTAATCGTCATGTATACTCTGAGTTGAACCAATTGTTAGGTTACAATTCATACATTCATTACAAATTATTGCAAAACTACACTTGCTCTATTCAGTGAACTAATAAGGTGCAAATTAGCAAGTTAATAAAACCTTCAATAATCAACTTTAAATAAAATAAATCATGTCTATGGATTTTGGACTTTATTACCAATGAAATTAGAAAAATATTGCATAAACAACGTCTTTACATTTTTTTTTGCATATTTTGTGTTGCGACTTGCGACTATTGTATAGAGTTGTTGTATGAGAATGGACCAGCCTTGGTGTGTGGCCTAAATAGACGATTGCGTATCGATGCAACACCATTATTAGGAATATTCCAGGCCACTATTTGCATAACTGTAGTATATGTAACGGATATGTTTATATAAAGCATATCTGTACATTTTGTAGCAAAAAAAATAAATAAATATGTTTTATTAATAAATTGACTGTGAACCCCAGTCTGTTGCTTTTTGTCCTGTGTGGCTAGGATTTATTAGCTTAAGTAAGGAGTCGAGTATTTATTTTACTTTTTACACCAATATGTTAGATTGCCCCTATCATGGATAGCTTTACTTTCATATATGTACCTAGTTATTGTTTACCTTTATCAGAAACTCTAAGATACCTTAAAATAATATGGTAGGTTCCTAAAGCTAATTCTATGAGGCCGAAGTTAGTACATTGTAACCAGATTTTAACCTTGCCACGGGAAAGGATTAGCATTTACATTTATGAGGTACAACTTGACGTGTGATGAGTCAGAAGGTCACATGAGTGTATGAACGTTTCTGTCTAAATTACTTCTGTCTGAAATGTGTAGTCATTATTATGTACTTTCAAGAGAATACACCAGACTAATGTATTTGCTTAGAAATACCATTTCGGACAAATGATAACGGCCAATGTTTGACAAACTTTTGTCTGCAAATACTTGTAAAAAATGTACTACCGACTTTACACAAGTAAAGAGTTTGTTATACTTTATATACTTACGTAAATTGTCTCGTGTTTGACTTTCTGAATTAGCGTTGAACAGCTAACGATTTTAACATAGTCTACAACTTTGTTTGTCGTCTCAATCTTAGATATTTACTAACATTTTGCATGAGTACCTAGAAGTGCAACGTGTATATTTGTTTAGTAGTTTAACATGAAGTGGTAGGAAACGAAACGTTGTTGCATTAAGAAATACTTTATCTATATAAATAAAAATGAGTTTCCAATCGTTAGTCTCGCTAATACTCGAGAACGGCTGAACCGATTTGGCTCATTTTGGTCTTGAAATGTTCGTGGAAGTTCAGGGAAAGTTGAAAGGGTGAGAAAAAATCTTTTTAGGCGGTATGAAGTTTGCAGGGTACCTAGTTAGACATAAAATTTATACAAGACTTGTTAGACAGTCATAAACGGTAACGGTAATGACTCCAATACCTCTACCTACCTATTTTGCTCGATTTTCAAGTCTTCCAACCACTGCCAGCCACTGATTATAACTTTAGCTGCTTTAAGTTTGCGATTGCGAAGAGATTCAGGAGACTTCGACGTGAATGAAAATAAAATCTTGTTCCATTGTCTTATGAACATTAAAGAGCTGAAGATTAAACTCAATGGTATGCTATTGAAGAGCCATAACCTCTATAATTACCAATGTATGTGTTTCTGTAGTGACCTGGTGAGAAGGTGTCTGGAGCACTCACCGCAGCTGCAAGCTCTAGTGTGTCGGCTGCGACTGGCCACGTTAGCTGCCGGGGCCACCGGCGGCAAGGTGTCCACCTTGTACCGGGCTGCGGAACATGCTGCGAGCTGGTCAGTGGCATATTTTACTAGAAACTTAACTAATCGATAGAGCCTTAAAACAGGTGACGGGTAGGCAGATATGACAAACTTTTCACCAGTAAGTGACTAATGGGAAGAATTTTGCTATTGAGCTGGTCTTAACTGGAGATTACAAATACTGTAGTGTAATTTAGAATTTAAATAAATAATTCTTAAAGATTTTTGTCGAAGTTCCAAATAAAGGTCTTTATTCAGTTCAAAGGACTAAACATTTAAACTGTGGTACGTTATTCTTAGGTTATCAGATCTGGTGTACGGGCCTCGCCTCCAGCCGATGTGGTTGAATCTAGTCACGGGCGACGCGCGGACGTCCAACAAACTGGCCGAGAGTCTGCTGTCCGATCTCTGTGCCGTACTGTCTACGGGAGACACGAAGACCACTAATTTGTAAGTAACCTTTTACATCTTATTTTTAATTTTATTTTAATTATCATTAGAAAGGCTTCTAGAAATGTGATCGGCGCATGGTAAAATAAGTAGATGATAAAAAATACAACTTGCGAAAATTGAATGTTACATTTAATATCCGCGATATTAATTTTCATTCTTTATAGATTTTGAAACGTATCTTAAGCTAATAAAGACATAGTTTGCTTGAAAATCGCACGATTATGATGTTCATAGACGCCAGTATCACTTCATATTCTAGAACAAATAAACATAAAACCCCAGTCTAGAAGAACTAGGTTTTAGACTATGATTCAGAAGCTATCAATTCTTTAGTCACCGATATAAACACGGGTTATAAAAAAAATAGTGATTCGTACACTATTTTAGCGTAGGTTGTTAGCCCCATTTTCTACTAGACGAAATATATTTGTACTGTAAGATCTATACAAATAAATTGTAGTATTCTTAAACCCACGCGAAATTGAAATGAATGAAAATTCTCTATTGATGTTCTGAAGCGTAAATTCTAACGATATATTTAGGGATAAATGTTTTATGTACACCCGTATTACTAAAGGATTTAGGTTTATTTCTGTAAAGCACTATTTATGATGTAATTCGTACATAATATGCATAATGTATTAGAATTTATTGAACCATATAAGCTTAATTTATTACTTGTTTCTGTTATTGCGATAATAATATCACACATCTTATTGCTTCATAGAGGCAAACAGAGAGAAGTGTGAAAATTGAATAGGTTCTGGATTGACTATTAGGCATTTAGTATGTATTACATAACCTTTGGTTTTAATATATTTGAATCGGAGAAGTCAGAATTGTAGCGAACAAGATACAAACAAAGCGTTATTTATTGTAAACGTTATTTATTAATTTAACAGCATTTATTTATCACGTCAGAATGAATTCTAGTTTCGGAACACTTTCTACGTCCAAATATATTTGCCTAGTGACTGACTGGCTGGCAATTATTTTTATCTTGATTTGCTCCAATCACATGACGCTAGAATACGCACAATAAAACAGATTAATACGACAATAGAAAAACATGTACCGTTGTAAATCAACGATAGTACATACAGTAATAAAATTTACAAAGGGTTAGGTATGTTCTCTAATGCGAAAATAAAATGTCAATTTAAATGGTAGCCATCTTTGTTTGTTCCAATTTTAATTATTTTAAATATTTGTAATTGAAAACGAATTTGTTTAGTCGGAAAATTGTTCGTTTTTTAAAGGAGAATGTTCACGTAACTATGGAATTTCGTCTTACGTTGTTGCACAATAAATCTTTATTTATTATAGACCATGCTTATTATATTATCGAATAAAAGCGTTCATTTTCCCATAAATATCCGGGTTTTTAAGTAATTAGACAAAAACGAAAATAACCTAAAATTATGTTTAAACTGTCAAACACCGTGCGGTCACCGGTGACCGCAACCTATTGTTCTTTAATTGTGTCTATATACATAAAAACATCTTGTCGTATGCTACATGGAACTCACGCTTATTTATTCAAAAGTCAGTTTTCCTTACTGTCTGTCACATGTTATGACAGTTGCTTCTGCGTGAGACGGAACACAAAAATAATTATAATTGTAACAATACTACAAAATACTAAATAAATACATTGTAAAATGTATTGATATTACAAATTATTTAGCTATTTATTGAAGTTGATATAATTTTTGTGATGATTTTGCCGAAAGGTTCTACTTACGTGATTCGTAAACACGAACTTTTATTCGTAAGTTAGCACGGAACGTCAATGTCCTTGAAACGGAAATTCCATAGCAATTTTTATGTTACTATTAATCTTATCATCATAATTCCGGATACGAATATACAATTCCTGAAGTGAAAAGGTTGTAAAAAATAAGAAAATTATTTCTATATTATTTTGATTTTTCAACTTGAAACTTTGCTAGACTGCTTTTGGTCAATCTCCTTTAAAGATTATAATTTGGTCTATGCTGGAAGACAACGTTCTGAATTGTCTGATTTGAATATAGCGCGGCATCTTAATCTTTAATCCAATAATTGAAATAAATAGGTAAATCGTTTGGATCATTTATAAGATTAATTTCGACACTAAATGCGATTTCACGACTAGACGCGTCGCTAAACGATGACTCATAGTCGTAAGAAATGAGAAAAGTGATTAGCACATCTTCACCTAATTTATTACATGTGTTCGAGAATTGGAGGCAAATAGGAAACTAATATTTTAAATACACATTGAATAATAAATTATAAAGACGATAATATATGTATTTGTTGATAGATTTATTTCTTAGGTAAATATTTTAAAGATTTAGCGAGTTCTGTGCGCCATATTTGGAAAAATATGACCGTTGCCTTTGACGAACTAGTTTAAAAATTGTAGTAGCATCGCTCCCCTTACTTTACTGGGGTATTAATTAATTTGTTACCATCAAAGGGTGGATATCTTTTATTGTATAAAAATAATGATAAAGTCTATTGTTACAATGGTTTTGTGTGATTCAGTAATATAATTCAGGATTTCATGCTTAGCAATCGCGTATGAACAAGTTACACAATGTCTATTAAGCAGGTTTTAGCTAGACCGTGCCAATATACACATGTAAATACTGATCTTAATAGAACTCTTGATTAAAAAAAACTAAATGTAGGTGTGAACAAACAAACTAATCAAACATGATGTTGATGGCAACACCGTAAATTGTAATGATGCCACCCACAAACATTCCTGAAGAGTTTCATACGTGTACCTTTCAGTACAGTCCAATTCTTATTTTTATTAAATTTTTTAAACACCGACACGAATTTTTTGACTACATTTCGGGAGAATATTCTTAGATATTAATGTACAGTAAGTGATCCGATGTTTTTTAATTGGACTGTACATTTCGTTTCAGAGTTCATGTGGGAAGTGTATTGTTGACTTGTACTAAATTGCCTGTTTCCGTTTACGATCATTTGACGCCACTCGTGTATTCAACATCTTGAAAAAGTAATATGTATCAACAAATTTTTGGCAGTTCTTTACGTTAGTTTCTCACAACATAGGCACTTGCGAAATGTGTAGCTTTCTATCTGTTCCTTCAGGGAATTTAAAGGCGTGATGTTATACGAGTATCTATTATATCTAGTTAATTGTGTATCATACTTAAAAGTTAAAATTGACCGTCTTCCAAATACAACTGCCAATAATTGGCTACAAACAATGATTCTCGTCACATGTCACATAAATTTCCGTATAAAATTGCCAAATATTCACTACACAGATACTTAAAACCGTGAAATTGTTCGTGTTAGAATTTTATTATTTCCTATAAACTTCACGTGATGTGTAGGCGATACATATATTTTACAACTCTACGTACGAGAACGAGATAGATGTCCGTACCTACTCGGTGGTGTGATCAGATAACTGGGAATAAACATTATCACATGATTTTTCTAAAGCTCTTCTCACCTGAGTTTTCTGTATTATGTAATGTTTTGCAAACATAATTAAGATATTTTGGTATATGATGTTTAGTCTATAGACTATAGATATCGTAGTACACAGTTATTGTTTAAACAACTAAGTTCACAATCTGGAAACTTCTCATGGAACTTTCGATCTTTTACACCTTCTGTATGAAAATTCAGAACTTTACTGCTTTATATAATATTCTGATATTCACGGTTAACTGCCACAAAAATGCTTAAGCTCATTACATCCAGAAATACGATGACATATCTGTAAAAACCACGAAACAAATTTAAATGTGCTGGCCATTATTTTTCTTAATCAAAACATTGGTTCCATTAGTCATATTTTATATCAAAGCACACCCACGCGACAATTATATAAGATTTGATAATCAATTTCGGATCCAGACGCTGCTACTTTTCGGGACGTCTGGAACGTGTCCAATGCCTCCGATTAATGACAGATAAATAAAAAAAAACACGAAAACACTATGCACACAATTTGGCGCGTTTTCTCGCCATCATTTATTTGAACGGAAACAAAGTGTGAATGGAGATCTGTCTTATTTCATTAGTCTGTTTTTTGGAAGTTAGTCAGGTACGTTACTTAGCTATTTCCGTCGTAATGTTTACGTGTTGTACTCACGTGATTCTGAATGTTTTTTTAATAGATTGACGTCTGCTGTACAAATTGCCCAACATTGTTGTGCAACATAGGTCTGCGGAAGAGTTCACACAACTACAAATACATAACGTGCTTTGACTTTGGTTGGAACGCGTTTACCAATGATTCATTTAAAGACAATTGGTTGAATATAGACGATTCTCTATCTATTTGTTTATTAATATTGTTAGCTTAGTATTCTACTTGATTGATTAGGTAATCGATTAAGTTCACCCAATTAGAATGAAACGCAAACATTGGTTTAGCGTCGAATGTTACAATTTTACGATATCTTTTATGAATATTTAATGTTCATTCGAAGGTTACTTTACGTAAATAAGTCTACATTTTCTATTAGCTGGTGTTAAATATTAGTTTATTATGCGTCATAATCCTATTATCGAATTGTTTGGATTTGCTAATCGTGATCTGTTAAAAACAAACTCAAATATTGATTATGATTAGCGTACTTAGTCGTGACTGCACGCGATCTCCTAATAAGGACTTTTTTGTCGTTACAGTTTCATCAGCACGCTTCTGACGCACGTGCTTACTTACCACCTCGGCTGGGTGGCCACCGTGAGCCCGTACGACACCATCGACCACCAGGCGAGGCCACAGGACGCGGAGGCCAAACCTTACAACGCACTGTGGGCTCAGCTCGGCGACCTCTGCGGGAGTATCGGGTTCCCTCCCCGCACCGCGCGCACCATCATCAGCGGCTCCAACAACACGCAGTTCCTCAACAAGCTCCTCGCCGTGCTCACCTACTTCGTGCGCTGCGGTGACGTCAGACGTAACGACTTCGTATTTCAAGACTGCACACTTAAAGAAACCAAAGTCGTCAATGTCACTCCCGAGCCCACCGGCCTCAAGAGGGTCGCCACTCGTGTCAACAAGCTGGAACAGTGTGAAATAAATAGTTTAACAGTGCCGTCAGTGAATACTCAGAACAGTGATAGTAGTGTCAGTACATTAGCGGCTAGCGAGGTCAGCATCAAGCGATCGTCCACGCTCGCCAACTTAGGTCAAAAGCTCTCTAATAGCTCCGAGTTCGCAGGAGTAGACTGTAGTTCAACGAGTGACGTGCCAGTTACCAACCTGCTCAAGAGGAACCCAACCATGATGCTGTCGTTAAAAGCTTCTTCGGATTCTAGTCTAAATTCATCGCTTTCGGAGAACGAAACGGAGGAAAAGAAAGTTGTTTTCGTGTTAGGTGACAACGAGAAATTGGTTGGGCTGAAGAATAAATCTGCTGACGGAAAATCAGTGAAGAAGTCTTCCAAAATCCACAACGAGCCCCTAACTCTTGAAGTACCAGAGAAGATGACTGAACCGTGCAAGAAAAATGGCTGTGAGCAGGACAAACGGGCCGACAGTCCGTCGAAATGCTGCGGGCAAACGCTTCAACATTCCAAACCAATCAAACATTCCGGTTTTAAGTTCGAGTTCGATAAGTACCCTCAGATAGTCACTAATTATATGAAGAGCAAAAACTTAGAGATATTAGATAGGCACTATATCGGTAAACCGGGGAATTTGAAGCTGGACAACTTCCAGTTTGACCCGACGATCGTGCCGCCGATACAGGAGGAGCGGTGCGAGACGTGCGTCAAGTGTCAGATGTTGGAGTCCATGCTGCAGACTCCCACCAACGCCTCGGAGATGGAGTACATGAACGATATGCCACGGCAGATAGAGCCGCAGTACGCCAGGGAGACCATCGTGGAGCCTTCTCCGGAGAGAGAGGCGCCCAAGACGTTTGTGAGGCAGAGGAAGGAGAATACAGTCGTAGTCAACGTGAAGCCGAAGGAGGAGATATGTGAACCAAAAAAGCCAGAGAGGAGGTTACGAGGGAGGGAGAAGGCGAGTGAGAAGTTGGTGGATGTGAAGCAAGTGTTGGAGTTCCCGGTGCGGGCGCTGTGTGGCGGGCGCGGGCCTCGCGCCGGGTACCACGCCTCGCTACTGGGCGGGGTCACCGACCACTATGTACCTGATCTAGTTTTACAAGGTGGGTTTTCCTGGATGTTATAATTTACATTTGCGATTATCATGTTATAATGGCGAGTTTAGTCAAAAATTGGATGTCTCAATTATAAGGTCTTAACACTGACAATTTTGAAAATCAAAACTTCGCTTGCTTATTACTTCGGTTAGTCTACTATTATATGAGAATCATGTTTTGGTTATGGTTTTCTATAATTAGATTATCAAAAAATTATAACATTATCCTATTTCTTGTTATCATAATGTATAATGGTATATTCAAATTTTAATAAACTTATTATTCCAGGAACAATCGCCAAGCCGGTCGCTTGGGAGCCTGACTTACGTCGTGACTTGGATCTGACGTCGTACATCAACAAGACTGCCGAGTCACCAGTACAGGCAGTCGCCATTGTCGGAGATATTAGTACTTGGTAAGTCTTATAATTGTTTTTTATAACATAAAGTACGTACTTATGATTTCTTAACCTTACTTTCACCTACTATCCTTTATAAAATGCGGGATTTTTAAATACCTAGAAGAGCATGTATAATTATATAATTTGTCCCTAATTTTTAGGGCCACACTGGTCAGAGTTGAGTCGATTCGATTGCCCTGTGTACTGGACGCAATTCCAAACATAGTGCCATTCCTAAAAAATTTAGAAAAGTAATAATAATAATGTATGTATAATAATATCTAGTCGCTGCCTACCCTCATGGGAGACAGGCATGCGGTTATGTATGTGTGTAAATTATATGTCTATCATCTCCATTGTTTTACTAACAATATGTATTATTTACAGGGAAGTGCGTGTAATAGGCAGGGATTGCGGTTCTGGCGGCATGTCATCTCTAGTGGGTGCCATGTTGGATACATTACCTGCTATGTGGAAGGCGAAGGTCCCGGCGCAACATGTAATTATCTTTTATTATACGGGACCTTGTTCAAGTTGGTGATTGAAATGCGTTTGATGAGTAATCGGAATTCTGTAATTATAAAGTAAAAAAGAAAACCGTTTATTACGCCACGACACATACACCGAGAACAATATATTTATTTATTTATTTATTAACACTTCTGTATAACAAACATACGATGGCGGACTTAATGCCGGGTGGCATTCTCTAACAGTCAACCATGGGGTGATGCAGAGATGTGCAACAGTAGGTGTAATAGGTGTAATGGTTTATGTGACACAGAAAAATCTATATAAATAAATTCATGATTATGCATAACTGTAGGAAATACATACATATATCCGTATAATATATAGGTATAATATAAATTACATAAGATACATTATCAATATTACTAGATAACAATACTATAAAAGTAAATAAATAAATTGGGAATAAAACTATATAGGTACACACAAAATGTCCATGGTGTGTCGCAGCGCAAAAGGCCGGAGCTCAGGTTAATGTTGTAATTGGGGCACGAAGGCTCGTGTCCACAGCGCTGATTTTTAGCACTTGCAAAAAAATAGATTGCCGAATTAATCGAATAAGGTTCTGAGAAGGAAAGTGTTATTAGGTTTTTTAAAAAAATCTTAGTAGCTCGTATAAAGCCCTATACATATAAATAACGAAAGATCGAGTACATTCTCTACATTCTCTATATATTCATCAGTCAGATTCCTTTACTGTAAGTAGATCAAATAAATTAACATTTTTTATTTTTCTTTTTCAGTGCATATCATTCTTGGAGAGCAAGCTCCGTGAATTCTGCGTGCTATCGAAGACATTAGCGGACATGTTGATGTCGACGGACTTCTGCGACATCGCAACGCTGACCAAGTCATTGAACATCGACGTCAACGACGTGCCACTGTTGCTGGCCGTGGCCAGTACTCACACTCCACAAGTGGCTGCCAGGTACGGCCTCAGCTATGGATAACATACCCATAGCACGTGGGACTCCACGCATTGGTTAACTTGAGGCAACAAATTGAGGGTATCCTACACCTATCAGCCACTTATGGCAAGCCAAGGAAACCAAGAAAAATACCATGGCTATTAATGAAATTTCAACCCTATTTGTAGCCGTCAGAAGGTAAATTCCTGCTTGTCAAAGGATAAATCTTAACTACCAAAGTGGTAGTTTTATTCGTGGTAGAAATTTTTTTGTGTATCTTCTTTCAACTTACGCTAAATGTTACGATAGTAATCACAATTTTTAATACGCACTTTTAATGTGACGTGTTTAGTCTATGACGTTGATATTTGATCGGAATTTGTATGCATACGTCGCGTTTACTCGGTAGGTCCTAAGTGCAATCAGCTTGCGTCATTGAGTAGTAAATTTTTGGAATGCCAATGTACGGAAGCGATGCGTACGTTGCCACCATCTTCGTCAAACTTCGACTCGTGTGAGACGCCATGACGCGTTAAGTCTCTGTCAAATTGCGTCATCTATTCTTTAAATATATTACTTAAAATTACGTCGTGACGATTTCTCTTAAGCATGCAATTCTGTAGTCTCAAAGTACATACAAATTGCAATACTACCAAAGTCTGGTTACGTAAATATCAGTCGAGATCGGCTATATTCCGTATTTATATGACCAAATTGTATTAGGTATGAATGGGAATTGGTAATATGATGAAATAAGAAATGTTTGCATGGAAGAATCTAAATTGCAGCTCTTATACGCTTATAGGTAGCTATGTGGCACGAAAATTGTATACAGTTAAAAGTATAAATGGTATATGAAATTAATCGTTGACATTTGAACAATGAATTGTCGGAAAGCGGAGTTTTAGTGACCCGCGCAGTATTGGCTAATGATTAACGTAATACCCCGTTGGGAGAATCCGGGAACTAATTTATTTTGATCGTATCTTATAATAATCGTAGGGAATATCGTTAAAATGCATAATAATCATCGATTTTAGTAAATTATTAAAACTTGCCATAAAGTTACAGCATTATATTGTAGATTAAAATATAATAAAACGTATAGAACAATATATTAAAGGTTTCAAAAGTGTAACTTTGAAATACAAATTCTTGCAGAGGCGTTGCGCAGGAATCTGTGATTTTATTATTATTTTTGTAATATATCTTATTTATAATATTTTTGTGGCGGGTGAAGTCCATTGAAAGTGGGCGTCATTCGGGCGTTGCCAACATATTCGAAGTTAGTACAATAAATAATTCGATACACGCGCTGCTCGGTCGATGTAAACATTACATAATTACCGGACTTTGCCTGCAAACTATCTATTTTGATTGTGATAATCGAAACAATATTCGAGTGTCAATATGTGATTTGAAATCAGTTGAGGTTTTTAAAAGGCCTAAGTATAATTGTGATAGTCAATTAAATTATATATATTTATTTATACATCAAGCTCAAAAGCTGTCAAGATATTTTATGATATATTTTGTTTGCAATGGCTACGTTGTTGATGCACTATTTTGAAATATAATCGCGTAGTTGTAGGAATTTGGCAGCATTTGGCAGGTAGGCAGTTACATAGTGGTTTTATGAAATATCTTTACTGCCACTGAATATTTATATGAAATATAATATCAAATATTTAATGTACAAGTTCTGCTAGGAAGAAAGTTACCTTTTTAAATCAATAAAGTGAACAAAAAGTGCTTATTTAAATCAAGATTTTATTATGAACGAAATAAGGTCGCATTTGCTCTGTTGTAAACTGATTGTAATATCATACACATATGCTATCTTTTTTGCATCTCTTTCTAACTTCTATTGCGAAGGAAGGATAGCAATACTATCAGTATAAGCGACTTGCACCTATTGTTTACAAATACTCGTCAACTTTTGTAATAAAAAGAAGATATCAAACACGAAACTATACATTGTATGAACATTCCATTGCGTGTATAATCTGTGGTTTGCAATAGCGTGGTGGAGTGCATAGTTTTCGTGCTTGACATTTTCAATTCGCCTGTCGCACACATGCTTTATCTATGGTGCATATGCAGTTACATAATGTTATAGATCAAAAATTTATATTGTAAGAATTAATCAATGAAAATCTCACGATTGAGATTGGGCCTCAAGTCAGTACTCGCAAGATTATAAAATAAAATCTCGTGTAGTTTACTATTTCTGCTTTAACGTACGTAACTATAAAATAACAGATGTCTATAAAATAATCAGTCTTTTCTAATCAAAAATCTTGTAAAATCTCGTTAGTCTAACCGAGATCTCGCCCAGTTATCGATCGAGATTAATCTCACTAAAAAGGGACGAGATCTTGCGAGATCGAGATTGTATTCCTTAGTAGAAATCTTTCATTTTTAAGAGTGTCTTATCTTCTTCTGTGGTTTAGGCAATAGATACAATTTATATTTCATAGAACTTGTGTCAAATGTTGAAATTTAGTGTTGTATGTAAAATGCTAAAACAATTCTTCTCTAAAACAATACTTTTACTGGGAATAAAAAGTATAATCTTAATATGTATATGACTTGTTAAGCTTTGTGTAGACTGTAGACTATAGATCAAACAAAAATCATTTTTAATAGAGGCTACTTAATCCAGTATTTGAAAATCAAATTACCTAATTCAGTATTAAAAAATTGTTTCGATTAATTGCAAATACTAGTTGCCTTTATTAAAAATCTCCTAATATTTGTAACTGCATATGTTTCGTAGTGTTTACTGTTTAATAAATGTTTGTAGTAACTTTATGTATGTGATAGGGAACGTAGGAAAGTTTAACTTTGACGTATAACGTTGTTCCTTTGAACGTTAGTAAATAATTATTAGATCAATGAAATTTATGTTTAGCGACATCTGTCGGCCGATTGAAGAACAAATTCATACTTTATAATTTCTTATATTTGTAATATTTCTATGCATCTTCTTAGTCATATTTTATGTACCTTTCAAAAATAACCTAATTACGCAATCACCAACTATACAAATAAGAAACAAAACTAAATTTTCCATCAAAAAGTTCTGAATTCGGCAAACAGAGGCGCTGCTATCACTTTAAAGCATCACACTCGTACAAAATTGTGTGGAAGGCAATTTTTTGTATAAAACATGAATTTGTTGTACCTACAAACCTACATATCGTTCTATACCTGCACCTACTACCTGACTATCTCTGTACCTAAGTACCTTGTATAATTTCGTGAGGGTGATATGTATAGTTATTTTATAAGTTCTCATTTTTTTAAATAATGAGTAATAATTTTTTTATACTTTAATCTGATATTAAATTATTTTTTTTCATATTGAATTTTTGTGTTTTGTTTTCCTTGACCCTGTTGTGTAAAAAGAAGTTTTATTGGAAGGACGAAGTTAGAGTTGGGTTAACATGGAAATTGACTTTAATCGCAAATAGATCAATGACCTTCATAAAGAAAATAGAAGTAGTTTTAGTTTCAAACCCAGCTTTATCATTCACTAGCTTTCACCCGCGGCTTCGCTCGCGCCACAAAAGGATAAAAAGTAGCCTATATGACATATACCAATACACACAGCGCCATCTATACCAATACTTTTGTTTTCCCTCGAGAATATCAATTTTTCCGGGATAAAAAGTACCCTATTATTTAATCCAGACTTCTAACTTTACGTCCGCAAAAATTCAAAGCAATCGGTTTAGTAGATACGGCGTGAAAGCGGAACAAACAAACAAACTCACTTTCCGATTTATAATATTAGTATTCGTCTTTCTCTTACACCAGCGTATTTCCGTAAGGATCTTAATCTCAGCAAAATAAAACCAGATTAATCGAATCAATGCCTCTAAACTTCAGTCCAGCACTGTACAAAGCAAATACCTTTTGTACACAATAATTAAATTTAGGCAATTTTCGAACTACAGCTAAGTTGTTCAAGTTTCCCAGTTTTGTAGACTCACTTCGACCGAATTTGGCTTACATTGGCCCAAACTTGTCTCACCAAGTTTCGGTGTAGGAACTTCTGTATATAATTACAAAGGCTCTGTCTAAAAGTTGCCGTCCATTTTATCCAAAGAAGATTAACGAGTATTGCAACTTTTTTCATGTATATTTTTTTTCTATTTAAGTTTAACTGAGGAAAGTATTAAATATCTTACGTTTTTATGCCGACGAAATGGAAACTCATTTGAATCGCCTTCGGGCTGTTTTGTGGGGGCGTAATTTTCTTTCATAATTTGTGGAATATTATATGTACGCACTCGTGTATTTGTACGAATTACGTACCTACTACGTAGACAAGCATTAGGAATATTTATACTTATTCATAAAATGTATTAGAAAAAGTATAGTATCAGTAATGTAATATCCCAAATAAAACAAAGCTTTATTGGAGCCTCTACCTCAACAAAAACCTGTAATTCCAGGATTTGATCGAGTCCTCAATTTGTAGTTTAGATTGCTTCATCAATCAAACCGTTGATTATAATCACAAGGACGCACTCTTTAATTTACAATCCAATTGCCGATCGAAGGATGGCTGGACATATTCAATAGGGGAAAACAGTAATTAGTACTCATGCTAACATTTTTCATCCGTAAAAAGTTTATTATGGTGCCTTTAATACAAATCAAGATGCCTCAAGGTTGATGCTACAAGTCAGGAAAAGAATAGATATATGAAAGTACCTACCCAAGTATAAAAACATAATGGCAGTAAGTAATAAAATAAGCGCGGTATTAAATATAACAGGCACATTGCTTTTCATAACAACCTTATGAGGCAATAAAGAAACATAATTTAATCACGATACGCACATACATAAACAGTAATTGTGAATTGTAATTTTCAGCGATGCTCACGTACTCACAGTAAAGCTAATAAGTCGAGCGTAGGCCATTTTAGTAATTAGCCTCGCGCGTCCCAACCAGGCCCCATTAGTGGGATTACCTTCGCACAAAGCTAATATTTTATGAAAGGATCACTTCACTCCGTTACGACTGCG